TTGTAACAGTAGGTGGTACGTAGGGTGTAACAGTTAGCAGTGGTGTAACAGTAGGTCATAGGGTTGTAACAGTAGTGGTTGTAACAGTAGGGTGTAACTTAGCAGTAGGGTTGTAACAGTAGGGTGTAACATAGGGTGTAACAGTAGGGTGTAACGTGGGTTAACAGTAGGTAGTGTGTGTAACATGGGTGTAACAGTAGCAGTAGGGTGTAACAGTAGGGTTGTAACAGTAGCAGTAGGGTGTAACAGTAGGGTGAACAGTAGGGTTGTTGTAGCAGTAGGGTGTAACAGTAGGGTGTAACAGTAGGGGTACAGTAGGGTCAGAGGTGTAACAGTAGGGTGTAACAGTTTGTACGTCTAGGTGTACAGTAGGGTGTAGTAACAGTAGGGTGTAGCAGTAGGGTGTAACAGTAGGGTGTAACAGTAGAGCAGTAGGGTGTGTAACAGTAGGGTGTAACAGTAGGGTGTAACGTAGGTAGAACAGTAGGGTGTAACATGTACAGTAGGGTGTAACAGTAGGGTGTAGCAGTAGGTGTAACAGTAGGTGTAACTTAGGGTGTAACAGTAGGGTGTTGTAACAGTAGGGTGACAGTAGGTGTAACAGTAGGGTTGTAACAGTAGGGTGTAACAGTAGTAGGTGTGACAGTAGGGTGTAACAGTAGGGTGTACAGTAGGGTGTACTAGTGTAACAGTAGGGTGTAACAGTAGGGTTGTAAATAGGTGTACAGTAGGGTGTAAGTAGGGTGTAGCGTAGGGTGTGAAACAGTAGGGTGTAACAGTAGGGTGTAACAGTAGAGTAGTGTTGTAAACATGGTAAGTAGGTGTAACAGAAGGTGAACAGTAGGGTGATAACAGTAGAAAGTAGGGTTGTAACAGTAGGGTGTAACAGTAGGGTCGGTGTAACAGTAGCAGTAGGGTGTAACAGTAGGGTGTAGTGCAGTAGGGTGTAACCAAATAGGGTGTACAGTAATGGGTAACAGTTTGGGGGTGTAACAGTAAGGGTGTAATATAACAGTGGGTGTAACAGTAGGGGGTGTAACAGTAGGGTTGGGTGTAACAGTAGCAGTAGGGTGTAACAGTAGGGTGTAACAGTAGGGCTGTTTTAAACAGTAGGCAGTAGGGTGTAACAGTAGGGTGTAACGTAGGGGTAGGGTTGTAAAACAGTAGGGGTAAATAGGTGTAAAAAGTAGCAGAGGGTGTAACGTAGCAGTAGGGTGTCAGTAGCAGTAGGGTGTAACAGTGGGTGAACAGTAGCAGTAGGGTGTAACAGTAGGTGTAAGTAGGGTTTGCAGTAGGGTGTAGCAGTAGGGTGTTGTGTGTAACAGTAGGTGTGTAACAGTAGGGTGTAACAGTAAGGGGTGTAACAGTAGGGTGTAACAGTAGGGTGTAACATTTGGGTGTAAAGTACAGTAGGGTGTAACAGTAGGGTGTGTAGTGTAAACAGTAGGGTGTAACAGTAGGGTGGGAACAGTAGGGTGTAACAGTAGTGGGGTAACAGTAGGGTGTAACAGTAGGGTGTTAGAGTGGTTGTAACAGTAGGGTGTAACAGTAGGGTTTGTTTAAGTAGCAGTAGGGTGTAACAGTAGGGTGTAACGTAGGGTAACAAGTAGGGTGTAACAGTAGGGTGGTAACAGTAGGGTGTAACAGTAGGGTGTAAAAAGTAGGGTGACAGTAGGGAACAGCAGGTTGTAAAAAGTAGACAGTTAGGGTGTAACAGTATGGGTGTAACAGTAGGGTGTAACAGTAGGTAGTAGTGGTGTAACAGTAGGGTGTAACAGTAGGGTTGTAAGTATGTAACAGTAGGGTGTAAAACAGTAGGGTTTGTGTACCGTAACAGTAGGGTGTAGCAGTTGGGGTACAAACAGTAGGGGTGTAACAGTAGCAGTAGGGTGTAACAGTAGGGTGTAACAGTAGGGTGTAATCGTAGGGTGTAGGGTGACACAAACACACAAATTGTGACAAAAAACTGTAGCAGGAGTAGAAATTAACCAGCAGTTACAGAATAGTTATAGATTTAGTTTTTATAGATCTATTTACATAAAACTGGGTCACGCGACTCCATGTTTACCTGAATTTTACCAAGCCAAACAAATGGGTGCTTAACTAAGTTAATCTGTGAGGGAAAGCATTGATGTAACGAATAACACAGGACTACAAAGTTTGACTGTCACACCCAAATGTTTACAGCTGTTGAATGTTCTCTGAATCCTGTGAATTAGCTAAATTCACCCTGTGAATTAACTTTGACTTAAACCATTTCACTCTGTGATGAGTATAGATGGAGCAGTGTTTCAAACAAGTGAGAGAAATTAGTTACATTTCTATATTTATTTAGAACAAACAAGAGTTTAGATTAGAGCAGTGGTACCCAACTCCGGTCCTCGAGTGTACCCCCTACAATACACATTTTTACCCCCGGACAAGAAACACCTGATTCAACTTGTCAACTAATCATCAGGCCCTCAATGGGTTGAATCAGGTATGTTTGTCCAGGGATACAACGCCAATATGTGCTGTTGGGGGTACTGGAGGACTGGAGTTTGGATCCACTGGATTAGAGTATTTGGATAACTGAAATGGGATTCTATAGCAGGTAAGAGTCTTTTTTCCTGTTTGATGTACAGTATTTGTGTTTACAATGATGTGTGCACTGCACTGACAGAGTGACAGCTGAGCCACATAAATACCAGGAGATCAGACTCAGATAGCCAGCTTTTACTTTTGTCACACACTATGGACAAGTGAATTGGTTTCAGTGTGAGAAGCATATGTTGCTGGTGTTCATAATTATATAAATGATCCAGAATCTAATTCAACAGCAAATGCAAGTAAGTGGTCATAACGTTCATGACTCTGAAATAATCTTCCAAACAGTTTTCGCATGATAGTCCCTGTCGGTGTAAAGTTACGTAAGCACCAAATATAATCGGCATGATTAAACTCGCAACAAACATAGCGCTCTGTATTTGATTCGGAAATACATATTTGGCATTGACTTGAAAATAGCGAAACATGATTGGCTACGGCGAAGCAGACCCCGCCCTGTTGATGACGTTTTCCACTTCCCTTCCCACTAGCCAAGAGAAAGAACATCCGTACATTTACAGACCTCCCGTCATCCAAGCGTATGGCAAAAATAGCTGTTTTTCTTTCTTTTTATGTGGTGCCCACTACATTTTAAAAATTCCGCCGAAAAAGAGAAGACGATTTCCCGAAACATTTTCGCCGTTATCTCACGTAAGTATAAAAAAGACTTCGATTGAATGTTGAATTCATGCTAAGCTGGATAGCAAAACGCAACATGGCGGACGCAGTCCTAACCAGCAAACAGGACGCTAACAGCTAGCTAGTCACACGGCAGGCTGGCTAGCTACCTTTGAACTTTTCGATCTGGAAATGGCGCTCTTGTAAATGTTTGCACACATTGCTTACCTGTAGAACAAAATAATAAACTTTATTTGAAACCTATTTGACAAATTATTATGGCATTAATGAATTTGACAGTTTGTTGCTAGCTACGTGTACTTGTTAGCGCGATGTCAACAGCGCCGCTATCTTCATGAAACCAAACGAGTTCTAGCTGTCTTTCGAAGGTTAAAACGTGTTGCTGTCTCTTTGGAGATTGCCAGATACATTCCCTTTTAAGTAGCTACCTACCTCGTAATGGTTATCCGAAGTCATCCCTTGATAGTTTGCTGTGTTATGATAACAAACCAATGATCTGGCTGAACCAGTATCTGTGTAGGAGACCTCTCTCTAACGCCCAGAACGCGTTATAATGTCAAATTAGTTCGTTGATCGCCAAATATGGAGTTTCGCTGAGCAACTATCTTAACTTACTCCCGTTACGGCCGGTATGTACTTTTAAAAAAAAGTCTAAATTATTTAACAAATAACCGAGAAAATGCCTCTTCGTTACCTCCAGGGTTCACTTACTACTCATGATTGCCACGCACAGGTCGGAAGTCTACAACCGCTCAATACATTGGAGGTGCCGAAGAGGCATTTTTTTTTCGATTGCTTGAAAAATTGTATTTAGACCTTTTTCGGAAGTACATGACGGCCGTAACGGGAGTAAATTCAGATAGTTGCTCAACGAAACTCTATATTTGATGATCAGTGAACGTATTTTGACATAACGCTTGCAGAGCTGGTGAATGAGAGTTTGAATCTGGGCGTTAGAGGTCTAATGTACAGATACTGGTTCAGACCTACCTACATTTTCTAATCTATGCTTGCATATATCCTGCCCATTCACCATGGTCAGCCACGATACTGACTCAAAATACCGCCATTACTGGAAACCAAAGTAAGGCTAGCTGACGTTAGTGTTTTGCGTTGCATGACATCATGGCAGGATTTACTCTCCCATATTCCTTTGCTTGTCAAAGCAGATTGATTAATTCTGCTAATGGTATGTTTTGTTGATGTGTATCCAACAGCTTTCAGCCTCACTAGATGAATCTCAGACTTCCCTGGAAATGGTTTCCTAAGCATAGTTGGTTACAGTGCTCCTGTAGATGAGGACAGAATGCCAGGTTTTGTCTTTGTCAATATTTACCTAAACCACCACTGGGTAGTAGCTAAGTTACCTAACCTATCGATCCTTCCGTACACCGCTGTGTACTGGGAAAGTCACTAACAAATGGTTATTTTAGGGTGCAGCACATTTCACTCAACATAGCTAGGTCTTCAGACTTCACCATCGGCAACGTCTCTTACGTAATCTCCCAAATGAATAGAATTAGTTTACAGTTGAATTGATAGAATACAGGTTTATGCAATAGTGATTTGATCTGAACACATTGTACCCTCTATAGGTTTATGCAATAGTGATTTGATCTGAACAAATTGTACCCTCTATCCGTGCTGTTACGCCTGGCTGACTGTATTTTAATGACTTGTCTGAGCCTGTATGCATGCCTTTGTCAGACACGTTTCCATTTGAACACACACAATCAACAACTTTATTTTTTTTTATGTACCTTTTCTCCCCACAGGGCTCCCTCTTCTCTTTACAGGTGTATAACCGCTACCCAGAAGGCCTAGGGGCGGCTCTTTACCGGGAGCGCTTTGACTTCAACGCTGAGCCGCCTTGGGATCCTAGCTGATAGCGGGACACGGCCATCTACAGACTTGTCCATGTAAGCAAAACCATTCTGACATTTCCTTAGGGTGCCTTCAAACCAGGCAAACGTATTTGTAAAAAGAGCAGCAACTCGATGGTTTCCAATGAGAGCAGTGTGTTGTGGGAAGGCCTAGTGGTGTTTCGCTGTCCCACCACACCGATGGTTTCCAATGAGAGCAGTGTGTTGTGGGAAGGCCTAGTGGTGTTTCGCTGTCCCACCACACCGATGGTTTCCAATGAGAGCAGTGTGTTGTGGGAAGGCCTAGTGGTGTTTCGCCGTCCCACCACACCGATGGTTTCCAATGAGAGCAGTGTGTTGTGGGAAGGCCTAGTGGTGTTTCGCCGTCCCACCACACCGATGGTTTCCAATGAGAGCAGTGTGTTGTGGGAAGGCCTAGTGGTGTTTCGCCGTCCCACCACACCGATGGTTTCCAATGAGAGCAGTGTTGTGTCTGTGGGGCGCTAGGGTGTGTGTTTCGCCGTCCCACCACACCGATGGTTTCCAATGAGAGCAGTGTGTTGTGGGAAGGCCTAGTGGTGTTTCGCCGTCCCACCACACCGATGGTTTCCAATGAGAGCAGTGTGTTGTGGGAAGGCCTAGTGGTGTTTCGCCGTCCCACCACACCGATGGTTTCCAATGAGAGCAGTGTGTTGTGGGAAGGCCTAGTGGTGTTTCGCTGTCCCACCACACCGATGGTTTCCAATGAGAGCAGTGTGTTGTGGGAAGGCCTAGTGGTGTTTCGCTGTCCCACCACACCGATGGTTTCCAATGAGAGCAGTGTGTTGTGGGAAGGCCTAGTGGTGTTTCGCTGTCCCACCACACCGATGGTTTCCAATGAGAGCAGTGTGTTGTGGGAAGGCCTAGTGGTGTTTCGCTGTCCCACCACACCGATGGTTTCCAATGAGAGCAGTGTGTGTGGGAAGGCTAGTGGTGTTGTTTCGCCCCACCACAGCGCGTGTTGTCATGAACAGTGTGTTGTTTGGTGAAGGCACCCTACACAGGGGCCGTTGATGTGTTTTGGTTGAAGGCACCCTTACACAGGGCTTGTTGATGTGTTTGGTTTGAAGGCACCCTTACACAGGGGCCAGTTGATGTGTTTTGGTTTGAAGGCACCCTACACAGGGCTTGTTGATGTTTTTGGTTGAAGGCACCGTTACCAGAGAGCCAGTTGATGTTGTTTTGATTTGAAGGCCCTACACAGGGCCAGTTGATGTGTTTTGGTTTGAAGGCCCTACACAGGGCACAGTTGATGTGTTTTGGTTGAAGGCACCCTACAAGGGCCAGAGTGTGTTGTTGGTTGAAGGCACCTAGTGGTTGATGTGTTGGTTCACCCACACAGGGCCAGTATGGTGTTTTGAGCCCCACACAGAGCCAGTGTGTGTGTTGGTGAAGGCACCTTACACAGGGCAGTTGATGTGTCCTGCGTCTGAGGCCTTCCACAGGGCCAGTGTGTTTGGTGAAGGCACTAGGGTGTTCGCAGTCCACAGATGTGTTTTCATGAAGGCACTGTGGTGGGAAGCCTAGTGGTGTTTCGTTTTACCCCACACAGAGGCAGTGTGTTTGGGAAGGCACCCACACAGGTCGACGCCAGTTGATGTGTTTTGGTTTGAAGGCACCCTTACACAGGGGCTGTTGATGTGTTTTGGTTTGAAGGCACCCTTACACAGGGGCCAGTTGATGTGTTTTGGTTTGAAGGCACCCTTACACGGGGCTTGTTGATGTGTTTTGGTTTGAAGGCACCCTTACACAGGGGCAGTTGATGTGTTTTGGTTTGAAGGCACCCTTACACAGGGGCTGTTGATGTGTTTTGGTTTGAAGGCACCTTACACAGGGCCAGTTGATGTGTTTTGGTTTGAAGGCACCCTTACACAGGGGCCAGTTGATGTGTTTTGGTTTGAAGGCACCCTTACACAGGGGCCGTTGATGTGTTTTGGTTTGAAGGCACCCTTACACAGGGGCCGTTGATGTGTTTTGGTTTGAAGGCACCCTTACACAGGGGCCAGTTGATGTGTTTTGGTTTGAAGGCACCCTTACACAGGGGCCAGTTGATGTGTTTTGGTTTGAAGGCACCCTTACACAGGGGCCAGTTGATGTGTTTTGGTTTGAAGGCACCCTTACACAGGGGCCGTTGATGTGTTTTGGTTTGAAGGCACCCTTACACGGGGCCAGTTGATGTGTTTTGGTTTGAAGGCACCCTTACACAGGGGCCAGTTGATGTGTTTTGGTTTGAAGGCACCCTTACACAGGGGCCAGTTGATGTGTTTTGGTTTGAAGGCACCCTTACACAGGGGCAGTTGATGTGTTTTGGTTTGAAGGCACCCTTACACAGGGGCCAGTTGATGTGTTTTGGTTTGAAGGCACCCTTACACGGGGCCAGTTGATGTGTTTTGGTTTGAAGGCACCCTTACACGGGGCTTGTTGATGTGTTTTGGTTTGAAGGCACCCTTACACAGGGGCCAGTTGATGTGTTTTGGTTTGAAGGCACCCTTACACAGGGGCCAGTTGATGTGTTTTGGTTTGAAGGCACCCTTACACAGGGGCCTGTTGATGTGTTTTGGTTTGAAGGCACCCTTACACGGGGGCTTGTTGATGTGTTTTGGTTTGAAGGCACCCTTACACGGGGCCTGTTGATGTGTTTTGGTTTGAAGGCACCCTTACACGGGGCCAGTTGATGTTTGGTCTTTAAGCAACGCTCTTACCAGGGGCATTGATGTGTTTTGGTTTGAAGGCACCCTTACACAGGGGCCAGTTGATGTGTTTTGGTTTGAAGGCACCCTTACATGGGGCCTGTTGATGTGTTTTGGTTTGAAGGCACCCTTACACGGGGGCTTGTTGATGTGTTTTGGTTTGAAGGCACCCTTACACGGGGGCTTGTTGATGTGTTTTGGTTTGAAGGCACCCTTACACAGGGGCCAGTTGATGTGTTTTGGTTTGAAGGCACCCTTACACAGGGGCCAGTTGATGTGTTTTGGTTTGAAGGCACCCTTACACAGGGGCCAGTTGATGTGTTTTGGTTTGAAGGCACCCTTACACAGGGGCCAGTTGATGTGTTTTGGTTTGAAGGCACCCTTACACGGGGGCTTGTTGATGTGTTTTGGTTTGAAGGCACCCTTACACGGGGGCTTGTTGATGTGTTTTGGTTTGAAGGCACCCTTACACAGGGGCCAGTTGATGTGTTTTGGTTTGAAGGCACCCTTACACGGGGGCTTGTTGATGTGTTTTGGTTTGAAGGCACCCTTACACGGGGGCTTGTTGATGTGTTTTGGTTTGAAGGCACCCTTACACGGGGGCTTGTTGATGTGTTTTGGTTTGAAGGCACCCTTACACAGGGGCTTGTTTATGTCTACATGTGATGTAAGAAGAAGCTTTTAGCTCAAGCTGACACCTCAGGAATGAAAGGAAACATTGGACACGTCATACACAGTCCAACCCGTGTCTCAGCACGCATAGTATAAAGTATATATTTTGATCTACTTCTTTCTTCAGATATACGTAATGTTTGAAAAGTGTTGTGTTTTTTTTTGGTACTAGCTTGCATGGTTTCTTAAAGGAGATGTGTAATAATTAAGTCAATGTCCACCTAACAGCAACATACTGTTGTCCTCTCTCTCTGTGTGTTGCATACCCGGCAGGACCCACGGCTCAGTCGCCACCTTGACTTGACTACTCCTTCTTTATGATTGTCTGCTGAATACTGTTGAGATGAAAGGACTCGCTGACGAACCAAACCACATGATTGAACTCCTGGAGGGAGGAACCACCCTGGAAGATGTCATTGACGGACATGTGTACGAGCAAGCTCTGGTGAGGGAATTGATTTAAAAGGGTTAGAACAGCTAAACGAACCCCGGAGGAAGGGTTAGAACAGCTAAACGAACCCCGGAGGAAGGGTTAGAACAGCTAAACGAACCCCGGAGGAAGGGTTAGAACAGCTAAACGAACCCCGGAGGAAGGGTTAGAACAGCTAAACCAACCCCGGAGGAAGGGTTAGAACAGCTAAACGAACCCCGGAGGAAGGGTTAGAACAGCTAAACCAACCCCGGAGGATGACTCATGAAAGGCTTAAAACACTTATTTTCAATGTGGTCCTCAGTGGGATGAAACATTAATTTGTATTACATGCTAAAGCTCTGAGCAGCTGAAAAGCAAAGATCATGCCATGCTTGCAGGTTAATCAAAGTATGTATTGGCCCAACTAAGTCAAAATAAGCCTAAGCACCAGGCCTGGAGTTTCCCGACAGCAACGGCCGTTGCCCCCTTGTGTGGCAGTTAATCCCCCTAAAAACTCCTTGCCTTGTGGCTGTTGTGGACTTGGGCTGAACCAATTGCTGTGCTCCGAAGCACCACTTGCTCACGTCTCTCTCAGATCTCAATTCTTATTAACTAATGCCCGTCACGGGATCGGGTCCTTCTTACAGGCATCGCAGCTCCGAAGGACTAGTGAAGACAGACGCATCGGGGATGCAACGGCGCTCGTCCTTATTGAATTCCGAGGCGCACATTGAAGATGTTAAAACTGTCAACATTTACTTTTCTTCAGCCAAGATGAGTAACGAACAGCGAAATCACTAGCCTATTTCAATCTACTATCGCTCATAGTAGAAACGTTTACCTAGGCCTATTTTATTGGTCAGCTTGTCTTTTTGTGCGAGAAATAAATATTCCAAACACTCTTGGACAGTTGTGTGACGATAGATCCAACAGGTAGGCTGCTACTTCATATTCTGAATGGAGTTGTTGTTGGTGAGAAAGCGCAGGCACTGCAGTCTCAACTAGCCTAGCTTGTTAACGTTAGCTAGCTTAACTAGCTTCTCCTGGTTTGATGCTGTCAAGACCGGTAACACAGATAGAACAATGAGACCGATATTTCACCAGATGTATAAATGTGACGCACCCTGTTGGCGTTTCCGCTCACTACCAAATATGGTGGTGAGAGGAAGTCCGCTGGTTGTGGGAGAAGATGGATTTTGACCGACATTCTGCACATTTTCACATCGATTTAAGCGTTTGATCTCAATACAGTGTTCTGTTCCCAAAACGATAATCTGTTATGAACAGAGTGGACTAAGTTTAATGGACTTTACTCTTTGCTAAACTTTTAAAAAATCGCACTATTTAGGAGTGTAAAGGCGACTCGAGTTATTGCACATGCGTACTTCAGAGTAGGCGTTCCCTAACGGAAATATGCAGATGCATACTAGAACGCGCCCACCTCGTTGCTTGTTCTGCCCACTATGACTCATTTGTTCCCGTTAGACCACAGTGTCGTTTCCATCTTGGTTTAGTTATACGGTACAACGTAATCATATTGGATGATAAATCACCTAGCTATGGCAGCTGTTAGTCTACTATAGCATGAGTCGGCTTGATTGGTTGCTGTCTCATCCCTGCTCACAGTACGGCCCCTCCCCCACCTCCTCTAAATAACCTAGCTTGATTGGTTGCTGTCTCTGTCTGGTCCCTCCCTGCTCCCCTGGTTACTCGCTCACAGTACGGCCCCTCCCCCACCTCCTCTAAATAACCTAGCTTGATTGGTTGCTGTCTCTGGTTGGTCCCTCCCTGCTCCCCTTGTTACTCGCTCACAGTACGGCCCCTCCCCGACCTCCTCTAAATAACCTAGCTTGATTGGTTGCTGTCTCTGTCTGGTCCCTCCCTGCTCCCCTTGTTACTCGCTCACAGTACGGCCCCTCCCCCACCTCCTCTGGCGCTTTATCAGCTTCGGTTAATAAAGTAGCTTTAAAATGACTTTTCTGCTGCTTCCCTCACTCAAATCGGACCGGGTCTGGATCCGACCAGGTCTATATTGAACGGGTCTAGTTGTCCTCGGGTCCGGTCGGAACGCGTCTCTCTCTCTCTCTCTCTCTCATATATATATATATATATATATATATATATATATATATATATATATATATATATATATAACAATTCTATTTATGCATATCGTGTCCGGGTGGGAAAGCCCCAGGTCCATTTCGGAAAAGGGGCCTACTTTTTGGACCTGTGAAGACATCTTATGTAGGCTAATTATTTATGTACGTTAACATACACTTATGTTTTCTTAACAGCTTAATCTGTATAACTAGGTCTTTTCTTTCAGTGTGTGTGTAAAACTAGCGCTTGTCTTTGTGTGTGTGTGTGTGTGTATAACTAGCGCTTGTCTTTCAGTGTGTGTGTGTAACTAGCGCTTGTCTTTCAGTGTGTGTGTGTGTGTAACTAGCGCTTGTCTTTCAGTGTGTGTGTATAACTAGGTCTTGTCTCTTGTGTTCCCCAGGCTGATAAGAGTGTGTTTGTAGTGTCTGATCTTGGGTCCCTGATGAGACAGCATGTCCAGTGGCAGCGCACCATGCCCCAGATCAGGCCCTTCTACCCGGTCAAATCCAACAGCAGCCCGGCTGTCATCGAGATCCTGGCCTCTCTCGGCCTCGGCTTCATCTGTGCTAACAAGGTGAGTGGTACCTTTTTTTTAATTTTGTTACTTATGTTTTCAATGGTGTTTTATAAAAACGGATCAATCAAGTAACACTGTAACAGCATTCTTGAATACCTTTCATTCTGTCGGCTTTCTCTGTACCAGTGTGATCACAAACTCTAGAGGGTAGGCAACAACACATCCGCCACGCTGATCCTCAACACGGGGGCCCCTCAGGGGTGCGTGCTCAGTCCCCTCCTGTACTCCCTGTTCACCCACGACTGCATGGCCAGGCACGACTCCAACACCATCATTAAGTTTGCCGACGACACAACAGTGGTAGGCCTGATCACTGACAACGATGAGACAGCCTATATGGAGGTCAGAGACCTGGCCGTGTGGTGCCAGGACAACAACCTCTCCCTCAATGTGAGCAAGACAAAGGAGCTGATCGTGGACCTCAGGAAAAGGAGGGCCAAACACGCCCCCATTAACATCGACGGGGCTGTAGTGGAGCGGGTCGAGAGTTTCAAGTTCCTTGGTGTCCACATCACCAACAAACTATCATGGTCCAAACACGTCAAGACCGTTGTGAAGAGGGCACGACAAAGCCTATTCCCTCTGAGGAGACTGAACAGATTTGGCATGGGTCCCCAGGTCCCCCAAAGTTCTACAGGTGTCAGAGGAAGGCCCAAAAAATGGTCAAACTCCAGCCACCCAAGTCATAGACTGTTCTGTCTGCTACTGTAAGCGGTACCGTATCGCCAAATCTAGGTTCAAAAGGCTCCTTAACAGCATCTACCCCCAAGCCGTAAGCCTGCTAAACAGTTAATCATGTACAAAGAGGGTAAAAAAGTATTTGCTCCCCTGCTGATTTTGTACGTTTGCCCACTGACAAAGAAATGATCAGTCTATCATTTTAATGGTAGGTTTATTTGAACAGTGAGAGACAGAATAACAACAAAAAAATCCAGAAAATCGCATGTCAAAAATGTTATAAATTGATTTGCATTTTAATGAGGGAAATAAGTATTTGACCCCCTCTCAATCAGAAAGATTTCTGGCTCCCAGGTGTCTTTTATACAGGTAACGAGCTGAGATTAGGAGCACACTCTTAAAGGGAGTGCTCCTAATCTCAGCTTGTTACCTGTATAAAAGACACTTGTCCACAGAAGCAATCAATCAATCAGATTCCAAACTCTCCACCATGGCCAAAGACCAAAGAGCTATCCAATGATGTCAGGGACAAGATTGTAGACATACACAAGGCTGGAATGGGCTACAAGACCATCGCCAAGCAGCTTGGTGAGAAGGTGACAACAGTTGGTGCGATTATTCGCAAATGGAAGAAACACAAAATAACTGTCAATCTCCCTCGGCCTGGGGCTCCATGCAAGATCTCACCTCGTGGAGTTGCAATGATCATGAGAACGGTGAGGAATCAGCCCAGAACTACACGGGAGGATCTTGTCAATGATCTCAAGGCAGCTGGGACCACAGTCACCAAGAAAACAATTGGTAACACACTACGCCGTGAAGGACTGAAATCCTGCAGCGCCCACAAGGTCCCCCTGCTCAAGAAAGCACATATCCAGGGCCGTCTGATGTTTGCCAATGAACATCTGAATGATTCAGAGGAGAACTGGGTGAAAGTGTTGTGGTCAGATGAGACCAAAATCTAGCTATTTGGCATCAACTCAACTCGCCGTGTTTGGAGGAGGAGGAATGCTGCCTGGGTATTCCAGCATGACAATGACCCAAAACACACGGCCAAGGCAACAAAGGAGTGGCTCAAGAAGAAGCACATTAAGGTCCTGGAGTGGCCTAGCCAGTCTCCAGACCTTAATCCCATAGGAAATCTGTGGAGGGAGCTGAAGGTTCGAGTTGCCAAACGTCAGCCTCGAAACCTTAATGACTTGGAGAAGATCTGCAAAGAGGAGTGGGACAAAATCCCTCCTGAGATGTGTGCAAACCTGGTGGCCAACTACAAGAAACGTCTGACCTCTGTGATTGCCAACAAGGGTTTTGCCACCAAGAACTCAGTCATGTTTTGCAGAGGGGTCAAATACTTATTTCCCTCATTAAAATGCAAATCAATTTATAACATTTTTGACATGTGTTTTTCTGGATTTTTGTTGTTGTTATTCTGTCTCTCACTGTTCACATAAACCTACCATTAAAATTATAGACTGATCATGTCTTTGTCAGTGGGCAAACGTACAAAATCAGCAGGGGATCAAATACTTTTTTCCCTCACTGTATGTCCTGTGTTGTAACGTGTGCATATGATGTGTTGTCTCAGGCTGAAGTCAGTCTGGTGCTGGGCCATGACGTGCCCCCTGAGAACATCATCTTCTCTGGAGTTTGCAAACAGCTGTCCCACATCAAACACGCAGCCAAGAATGGCGTCGACCTCTTGGTGTGCGACAGCGAGACAGAACTCTGCAAGATAGCCCGTTCTCACCCCAAGGCCAAGTAGGTGCCCATCAGACCAGCGTCTACACATCTAGGGGGTCTCTTAGTTTGTAGGTAACTGGGAAAAGTTGTTGAAAAAGTAATTCAAAAGAAAAAAGCTCCCTCACACTTAACTTTTTTCAAAGTATCACATACGCAACGCCAGGGTTGTGGGTTCGTTTCCCACGGGGGGGGCCAGTATGAAAATGTATGCACTCACTAACTGTAAGTCGCTCTGGATAAGAGCGTCTGCTAAAATAACTAAAATGTAATGAACGTTTGTAGATTGTGTATATTATTTTATTGTCAGCACCACAGGTCAGATTCCTGGTTCATATGTAAACGTCGTTGGAGAATAAAGTTAATTCTGACTTGTTCTGTTCCACCTCTCCTCCCCAGGCTGCTGGTCCAGGTAACTACATGGGCCCAGGCTGCAGAAACCAGCATGGCGTTCGGCTGCTCTCTGAAGAGCTGTAGGCGCCTGCTGGAGGCTGCCAAGGACCTGGGGCTGCAGGTGGTGGGAGCTACGTAAGACTCATCTTTCATAGTGTAGTTGGTGACCGTCACTAGTAGTGCTTTTGTCAGTCGTAGTAATTTCGTTCATCCTACATCCACATGTCTTAGGTTAAATTCATTTGACCTTGAGTTGTCCATGTTGGGCTGGAGTGACAAATTCAACAATCTGTTTACTTTTTCTACAGGCTACCTTGATTTAGCGTTGTCCTAATCGTTACAATTGTAATGTTAGAAACCTAGTTAATACTGTTAGTACTGTATTAGTGAAGTAATTACAATTGTCTTTGGTTGTGTCTTCAGGTTCCACATCCCCAGCTCCTGCAAGGACCTGCAGGCCTACAGCAACGCACTGTCGGATGCCCACTGTGTGTTTGACATGGGGGTGAGTAGAGGAGCTTATACCTGGGTATTAGGGGGGAGTTAACATGGTCAGATGGGGGAAACAGGAGCTTATTCCTGGGTATTAGGGGGGAGTTAACATGGTCAGATGGGGGAAACAGGAGCTTATTCCTGGGTATTAGGGGGGAGTTAACATGGTCAGATGGGGGAAACAGGAGCTTATTCCTGGGTATTAGGGGGGAGTTAACATGGTCAGATGGGGGAAACAGGAGCTTATTCCTGGGTATTAGGGGGGAGTTAACATGGTCAGATGGGGGAAACAGGAGCTTATTCCTGGGTATTAGGGGGGAGTTTACATGGTCAGATGGGGGAAACAGGAGCTTATTCCTGGGTATTAGGGGGGAGTTTACATGGTCAGATGGGGGAAACAGGAGCTTATTCCTGGGTATTAGGGGGGAGTTTACATGGTCAGATGGGGGAAACAGGAGCTTATTCCTGGGTATTAGGGGGGAGTTTACATGGTCAGATGGGGGAAACAGGAGCTTATTCCTGGGTATTAGGGGGGAGTTTACATGGTCAGATGGGGGAAACAGGAGCTTATTCCTGGGTATTAGGGGGGAGTTTACATGGTCAGATGGGGGAAACAGGAGCTTATTCCTGGGTATTAGGGGGGAGTTTACATGGTCAGATGGGGGGAAACAGGAGCTTATTCCTGGGTATTAGGGGGGAGTTTACATGGTCAGATGGGGGAAACAGGAGCTTATTCCTGGGTATTAGGGGGGAGTTTACATGGTCAGATGGGGGTGGTTATGAATGAAGTCTGTCTAGGTTGGTCCTTTGATCAGGAAGGTTAAAGGGCCTACATCCTGCTGTAGTCCTATTAATAAGGTGGTAACACAGACCATCCTAGTGGGGCGGGTCGAGAGTTTCAAGTTCCTTGGTGTCCACATCACCAACAAACTATTATGGTCCAAACTCACCAAGACAGTCGTGAAGAGGGCACAACAACACCTTTTCCCCCTCAGGAGACTGAAAAGATTTGGCATGGGTCCCCAGATCCTCAAAAAGTTCTACAGCTGCACCATCGAGAGCATCCTGACAGGTTGCATCACTGTCTGGTATGGCAACTGCTCGGCATCCGCCTGTAAGGAGCCTCAGAGGGTAGTGCGTATGGCCCAGTACATCACTGGGGCCAAGCTTCCTGGCATCCAGGACCTCTATACCAGGCGGTGTCAGAGGAAGGCCCTCAAAATTGTCAGACTCCAGTCACCCTAGTCATAGACTGTTCTCTCTGCTACCGCACGGCAAGCGGTACCGGAGTGCCAAGTCTAGGTCCAAGAGGCTTCTAAACAGCTTCTACCCTCAAGCCATAAGACAATTAATAAAATGGCCACCCAGACTATTTACAGTGGGGAGAACAAGTATTTGATACACTGCCGATTTTGCAGGTTTTCCTACTTACAAAGCATGTAGAGGTCTGTAATTTTTATCATCGGTACACTTCAACTGTGAGAGACGGAATCTAAAACAAAAATCCAGAAAATCGCATTGTATGATTTTTAAGTACAGTAATCCCTCGTTTATCGCGGGGGTTACGTTCCGAAAATGACCCGCGATAAGTGAAATCCGCGAAATAGAAAACTTTTTTTTTTTACAATTAGCAACTATTACATGTATACAAATACAGTGACTCACGTGTAGGCCGTTTCACTGCTCTTCAGACTGGGCCGCTGCATCCTGACTGTGCGGGAGGGCATTCGTTTCCAAAATAAGGCAGTCTCATCCATGTTAAAAACTTGTTCGGGCTTATATCCCCCCTCCTCAATGATCGCCTTGAATTTATTGTTCACGAAGGCTTCTGCCTCAGCGGTATCCGCAGACGCCATCTCACCGTGCAGACAAACATTTTTAAGTCCAAAGCGTTTCTTAAACTTTTCAAACCAGCCCTTGCTTGCATTAAATGCGCTTGGCACTTTGTCAGCAGCACTTGCTGGGGGCCTGGCATCCTCTCCCACTGTGTCAGCAGCACTTGCTGAGGGCCCGGCATCCTCTCCCTCTTCCCCGTCACTGACAGCAAAGTTTTCATACAGCATTCTCGCTTTTGTGCAGATAACGTTTGTATCCAGGGTTATGTTTTTTTTTCCTGCAGTCATTAATCCACAGAGCTAATGCCGTCTCCATCCGTACCATGGTCTTGTTGCGGACAGTTACAACCCTTTTTGCATTCGTATTAAAATTGACTGCTGCTGTCGTCCTTATGTTTTTTTCCTCCTTCTTTATGTAACGAACGGAAGATTCATTGATTCCGTAATGGCGAGCAACGGCTGCATAGCTTTTACCTTCCCTTAGCATGTCCAGAAGTTTAACTTTATCTGAGATAGGTAGCATCTTCCGCCGTTTGGGCCCATCCGCAGGTGCTTTTGTCGGTCCAGGCCGTTTCGTCGACATTATGGGTTTAGGAGATGTTCGAAATTACAAGATAATTTGGCCAACTTAATGTAAATTTGCCAAGCTGTTTTATGTACGTACACATAACTGCACGAGACGACAAAATGATAGCACAATTCGTAGCATGTTTTGATACAAGAAGCGGGAGTGAGTTTTTAGCGAATCAGAATGCAGAGCACAATGCACCAAAAAAAAAAAAATGCATTATGAAAATCCGCGAAATAGCGAATCCGCGATAAGTGAACCGCGAAGTGGCGAGGGATCACTGTAATTCATTTGCATTTTACTGCATGACATAAGTATTTGATACATCAGAAAAGCAGAACTGAATATTTGGTACAGAAACCTGTTTGCAATTACAGAGATCATACGTTTCCTGTAGGTCTTGGTCAGGTTTGCACACACTGCAGCAGGGATTTTGGCCCACTCCTCCATACAGACCTTCTCCAGATCCTTCAGGTTTCGGGGCTGTCGCTGGGCAATACGGACTTTCAGCTCCCTCCAAAGATGTTCTATTGGGTTCAGGTCTGGAGACTGGCTAGGCCAATCCAGGACCTTGAGATGCTTCTTACGGAGCATATTATTTTGATTTGATTTTTCATTCACTTCTGAAGGTTTACTTGAAAGATGAGTGAACAATTTTGTTATAACATCTATGGTCTGACAGACGTGTACCCAGCATGCATTGTATAATATCAACAAACATGACTCCACACATAGCCGGCAAATAGCTTAGCGTTAGCTCATCATAATCAGTACAACCTTCAAGAAAGTATTTTACACATATCTGTGTCCATTACCATCTATGCAAGATCGGAATGCATGATTTGTCACCAGTACTGGAAATCGTGAATAAAACAGTAAATACATTTTGCTCCATACACGCATAGAAATAGCTACAGCGCCTTCGGGAAGTATTCAGACCCCTTGACTTTTTCCACATTTTGTTACGTTACAGCCTTATTCTAAGATGGGATTTAAAAAAAGAAAATCCTTAGCAATCTACTCACAATACCCCATAATGACAAAGCGAAAACAGGTTACAAATTAACAAATTAAAACAAATACCTTATTTATATAAGAATTCAGACCCTTTGCTATGAGACTCAAAATTGAGCATCATTGATGTTTCTACAACTTGATTGGAGTCCACCTGTGGTAAATTCAATTGATTGGACATGATTTGGAAAGGCACACACCTGTCTATATAAGATCCCACAGTTGACAGTGCATGTCAGAGCAAAAACCAAGCCATGAGGTCGAAGGAATTGTCCGTAGAGCTCCGAGATTGTGTCGAGGCACAGATCTGGTGAAGGGTACCACAACATTTCGGCAGCATTGAAGGTCCCAAAGAACACAGTGGCCTTCATCATTCTTAAGTGGAAGAAGTTTGGAACCACCAAGACTTTTCCTAGAGCTGGCCGCCCGGCCAAACTGCACAATCGGGGGAGAAGGGTCTTGGTCAGGGAGGTGACCAAGAACCCGATGGTCACTCTGACAGAGCTCCAGAGTTCCTCTGTGGAGATGGGAGAACCTTCCAGAAGAACAACAATCTCTGCAGCACTCCACCAATCAGGCCTAACCGGTAGCGTGACCAGATGGAAGCCACTCCTCAGTAAAAGGCACATGACAGCCCGCTTGGAGTTTGCCAAAAGGCACCTAAAGACTCTCAGACCAGGAGAAATAAGATTCTCTGGTCTGATGAAACCAAGATTGAACTCTTTGGCCTGAATGCTAAGCTTCACGTCTGGAGGAAACCTGGCACCATCCCTACGGTGAAGCATGGTGGTGGCAGCATCATGCTGTAGGGATGTTTTTCAGCGGCAGGGACTGGGAGACTAGTCAGGATCGAGGGAAAGATGAACGGAGCAAAGTACAGAGAGATCCTTGATGAAAACCTGCTCCAGAGCTCTCAAGACCTCAGACTGGGGTGAAGGTTCACCTTCCAACAGGACAACGACCCTAAGCACACAGCCAAGACAACGCAGGAGTGGCTTCGGGACAAGTCTCTGAATGTCCTTGAGTGGCCCAGCCAGAGCCCGGACTTGAACCTGATTGAACATCTCTGGAGAGACCTGAAAATAGCTGTGCAGCAACGCTCCCCATCCAACCTGACAGCTTGAGAGGATCTGCAGAGAAGAATGGGAGAAACTCCCCAAATACAGGTGTGCCAAGCTTGTAGTGTCATACCCAAGAAGACTAGAGACTGTAATCGCTGCCAAAGGTGCTTCAACAAAGTACTGAGTAAAGGGTCTGAATACTTATGTAAATGTGATACTTCTGTTTTTTTATTTTGAAAATGTTTGCAAAAATGTATATAAACCTGTTTTTGCTTTGTCATTATGGGGTATTGTGTGTAGATTGACGATGGGGGGGGGGGGGGGGGGGGGGGGGGGACTACTTAATCCATTTCAGAATAAGGCTGTAATGTAACAAAATGTGGGAAAAGTCAAGTTGTCTGAATACTTTCTGAATTAACTGTACATGCGTACGGTATGCTACATTAGAAGGACAACACCATATACTGAAAATACGGCACTTCAATGGGAATGTCCAGAGTTATTATTAGTAAGTAAAGTGACGACGAAGGCAATGCTGGCGGAAAATGTGCCAGGGGGAAAAAGTTTGTGCTGGACTGCGCAAATGTCTGCATACTTGATGATTATTATAATAATAATATGCCATTTAGCAGACGCTTTTATCCAAAGCGACTTAGTCATGCGTGCATACATTTTTTTTTTTTTGTGTATGGGTGGTCCCGGGGATCGAACCCACTACCTTGGCGTTCCAAGCGCCGTGCTCTACCAGCTGAGCTACAGAGGACGAGAGGATCTGGGGAAACACTGGGGAGGTGTTTCGGCTCTCATCGAAGAGAGACGTTTGTCCGGTTCAGGAAAGCCTCAAACGTAAAATTGTCCGCAACAGTGAAATGGGCTACTTCTATGTGAATGAATGAGGAGGCGGAACACGCCTCAATTCAAACTGTTGAAATGTAGCCTATAGATAATTAGCAGGCAGCGTGTCTTGGTTTGAGGGCAGCGTGGGCGAACTGTCCTGTTGCGTAACAATCACATTTTAGAACAGTGAGTGCATTCTGACATCACTCATTAAAAAAAAAAAATCCAGCTGGGGCGACTGGGGCGTGAAAAGGTCGTGTCCATAGAGATCCTGGAAGTGTTCTATATGTAATTCTATGGCCTGATCGCCCTGTCTCTTTTCTCTCCCCCTCTCTCCCCCTCTCTCCCCCTCTCTCCCCCTCTCTCTCGCTCTCCTTGTCAGGCGGAGTTGGGGTTCAGTATGAGCATCCTGGATATTGGTGGTGGATTCTCTGGCTCAGAGTTTCAGCTCAAACAGGTACATCATGACCCCTCTCGTCACATGGCATTACTTACAGAAAACGATGCAGATTGTGTGTTTCCCAAATGGTACCCTATTCCCTATGGGCCCTGGTAAAACGTAGTGCCCTATAGAGGGAATAGAGTGCTGTTTGGGACGCAGGCGTTAAGTCCTCTGTCCCCTCTAGGTTCATACCTCCATCAGACTGCTGCTGGATGCCTACTTCCCCTCTCTGTTTGGGACGCAGGCGTTAAGTAACTCAGCTGACGTCCTCTGTCCCCTCTAGGTTCATACCTCCGTCAGACTGCTGCTGGATGCCTACTTCCCCTCTCTGTCTGGGGTGCAGACGTTAAGTCCTCTGTCCCCTCTAGGTTCATACCTCTGTCAGACTGCTGCTGGATGCCTACTTCCCCTCTCTGTTTGGGACGCAGGCGTTAAGTCCTCTGTCCCCTCTAGGTTCATACCTCCGGCAGACTGCTGCTGGATGCCTACTTCCCCTCTCTGTTTGGGGTGCAGACGTTAAGTCCTCTGTCCCCTCTAGGTTCATACCTCCGTCAGACTGCTGCTGGATGCCTACTTCCCCTCTCTGTTTGGGACGCAGGCGTTAAGTAACTCAGCTGACGTCCTCTGTCCCCTCTAGGTTCATACCTCTGTCAGACTGCTCCTGGATGCATCCTTCCCCTCTCTGTTTGGGACGCAGGCGTTAAGTCCTCTGTCCCCTCTAGGTTCATACCTCTGTCAGACTGCTGCTGGATGCCTACTTCCCCTCTCTGTTTGGGACGCAGGCGTTAAGTAACTCAGCTGACGTCCTCTGTCCCCTCTAGGTTCATACCTCTGTCAGACTGCTCCTGGATGCATCCTTCCCCTCTCTGTTTGGGACGCAGGCGTTAAGTCCTCTGTCCCCTCTAGGTTCATACCTCTGTCAGACTGCTGCTGGATGCCTACTTCCCCTCTCTGTTTGGGACGCAGGCGTTAAGTAACTCAGCTGACGTCCTCTGTCCCCTCTAGGTTCATACCTCCATCAGACTGCTCCTGGATGCGTCCTTCCCCTCTCTGTTTGGGACGCAGGCGTTAAGTAACTCAGCTGACGTCCTCTGTCCCCTCTAGGTTCATACCTCTGTCAGACTGCTCCTGGATGCGTCCTTCCCCTCTCTGTTTGGGACGCAGGCGTTAAGTAACTCAGCTGACGTCCTCTGTCCCCTCTAGGTTCATACCTCCATCAGACTGCTCCTGGATGCGTCCTTCCCCTCTCTGTTTGGGACGCAGGCGTTAAGTAACTCAGCTGACGTCCTCTGTCCCCTCTAGGTTCATACCTCTGTCAGACTGCTCCTGGATGCGTCCTTCCCCGCTCTGTCTGGGGTGCAGGTCATCGCTCAGCCCGGTAGCTACTACGTCTCCTCTGCCTTCACTCTGGCCGTCAACGTCATCGGCAAGAAGGTTGTGGCACGGGACTGGAGCTGTCAGGCTCAGGGTGAGCCAGCCGACTGATTGGTCCAGGGTGGCCGTGACCCCACCCTCTAAGGGTGTCTTAGGGGGAAGTAGGGATATGCACACAAAAAAACATTTTCCAATTCACACATTCATATTAATATATAGTAATACAGGACAAATATAAGCACACACCAAATAATTTAATTCATGGGATAGAATGGAGGCAGAATTTCTCTGTAGTATGAGAAAAAAACAGAGCACACAAAACATGTGAGATAATGTCTTTGAGCAGGTGCTGGATGTTGTAGAACATCATAATAAACCCACTAAGGTTCTCTGGTCCTCTGTAGCTCTGTGGTCCTCTGTAGCTCTGTGGTCCTCTGTAGCTCTGTGGTCCTCTGTAGCTCTGTGGTCCTCTGTAGCTCTGTGGTCCTCTGTAGCTCTGTGGTCCTCTGTAGCTCTGTGGTCCTCTGTAGCTCTGTGGTCCTCTGTAGCTCTGTGGTTCTCTGTAGCTCAGCTGGTAGAGCACGGCGCTTGTAACGCCAGGGTAGTGGGTTCGATCCCCGGGACCACCCATACACAAAAAATTTATGCACACATGACTGTAAGTCACTTTGTATAAAAGCGTCTGCTAAATGGGATATTATATTATTATTATTATGAGGAGCATTCAGTATATTGTAGTGTGCATTCTCTTTTTGTTGGTGTACTTCCTTTTTTGAAACCTCCTGTCTGATGTGATCTCCTCGTCCATCTCCAGAGGAGCTGACCCCAGACGACGAGCCAGAGTTCCTCTACTACCTGAACGATGGCGTCTACGGGTCTTTCTCCAGCAAGCTGCTAGGAAGCACCATCCCTGCCCCGGCTGTGCTCAAGGTCAGTAGCAGCTAGCTGGGTCCCCCTCAGAGAGATGAGGTCCGTAGCAGCTAGCTGGGTCCCCCCAGAGAGATGAGGTCCGTAGCAGATAGCTGGGTCCCCCTCAGAGATGAGGTCAGTAGCAGCTAGCTGGGTCCCCCTCAGAGAGATGAGGTCCGTAGCAGCTAGCTGGGTCCCCCTCAGAGAGATGAGGTCAGTAGCAGATAGCTGGGTCCTCCTCAGAGATGAGGTCAGTAGCAGCTAGCTGGGTCCCCCTCAGAGAGATGAGGTCCGTAGCAGCTAGCTGGGTCCCCCTCAGAGAGATGAGGTCAGTAGCAGATAGCTGGGTCCCCCTCAGAGAGATGAGGTCAGTAGCAGCTAGCTGGGTCCCCCTCAGAGAGATGAGGTCAGTAGCAGCTAGCTGGGTCCCCCTCAGAGAGATGAGGTCCGTAGCAGCTAGCTGGGTCCCCCTCAGAGAGATGAGGTCAGTAGCAGATAGCTGGGTCCTCCTCAGAGATGAGGTCAGTAGCAGCTAGCTGGGTCCTCCTCAGAGATGAGGTCAGTAGCAGCTAGCTGGGTCCCCCTCAGAGAGATGAGGTCAGTAGCAGCTAGCTGGGTCCCCCTCAGAGAGATGAGGTCAGTAGCAGCTAGCTGGGTCCCCCTCAGAGAGATGAGGTCAGTAGCAGCTAGCTGGGTCCTCCTCAGAGATGAGGTCAGTAGCAGCTAGCTGGGTCCCCATCAGAGAGATGAGGTCAGTAGCAGATAGCTGGGTCCCCCTCAGAGATGAGGTCCGTAGCAGCTAGCTGGGTCCCCATCAGAGAGATGAGGTCCGTAGCAGCTAGTAGCAGCTTATTATTAGGTCAGTAGCAGCTTATTATTATTATTATTAAATTATAGATGAGGTCAGTAGCAGCTAGCTGGGTCCCCATCAGAGAGATGAGGTCAGTAGCAGCTAGCTGGGTCCCCATCAGAGAGATGAGGTCCGTAGCAGCTAGTAGCAGCTTATTATTAGGTCAGTAGCAGCTTATTATTATTATTATTATTATTATTATTATTAAATTATAGATGAGGTCAGTAGCAGCTAGCTGGGTCCCCCTCAGAGAGATGAGGTCAGTAGCAGCTTATTATTAGGTCAGTAGCAGCTTATTATTATTATTATTATTATTATTATTATTATTAAATTATAGATGAGGTCAGTAGCAGCTAGCTGGGTCCCCCTCAGAGATGAGGTCAGTAGCAGCTAGCTGGGTCCCCCTCAGAGAGATGAGGTCAGTAGCAGCTTATTATTAGGTCAGTAGCAGCTTATTATTATTATTATTATTATTAAATTATAGATGAGGTCAGTAGCAGCTAGCTGGGTCCCCCTCAGAGATGAGGTCAGTAGCAGCTAGCTGGGTCCCCCTCAGAGAGATGAGGTCAGTAGCAGCTTATTATTAGGTCAGTAGCAGCTTATTATTATTATTATTATTATTATTATTATTAAATTATAGATGAGGTCAGTAGCAGCTAGCTGGGTCCCCCTCAGAGATGAGGTCAGTAGCAGCTAGCTGGGTCTATTAACCAAAATCTTTCTGACATGTACAGCCCTAATTTTTTGTAAGAAAATTGGATATAAAATGAAAAGTTAATCTCGTGTGAAGTTTAATGACTTTACTTGCATGTTTTAATAAGACAAATATTTGATCAAATATGTGAAAAGTCCAGACTGGGCTTATTGGCACCATGTGCCACCTTCCGGAGACACTGGGCTTATTGGCACCATGTGCCACCTTCCGGAGACACTGGGCTTATTGGCACCATGTGCCACCTTCCGGAGACACTGGCTTTATTGGCACCATGTGCCACCTTCCGGAGACACTGGGCTTATTGGCACCATGTGCCACCTTCCGGAGACACTGGGCTTATTGGCACCATGTGCCACCTTCCGGAGACACTGGCTTTATTGGCACCATGTGCCACCTTCCGGAGACACTGGGCTTATTGGCACCATGTGCCACCTTCCGGAGACACTGGGCTTATTGGCACCATGTGCCACCTTCCGGAGACACTGGGCTTATTGGCACCATGTGCCACCTTCCGGAGACACTGGGCTTATTGGCACCATGTGCCACCTTCCGGAGACACTGGGCTTATTGGCACCATGTGCCACCTTCCGGAGACACTGGGCTTATTGGCACCATGTGCCACCTTCCGGAGACACTGGGCTTATTGGCACCATGTGCCACCTTCCGGAGACACTGGGCTTATTGGCACCATGTGCCACCTTCCGGAGACACTGGGCTTATTGGCACCATGTGCCACCTTCCGGAGACACTGGGCTTATTGGCACCATGTGCCACCTTCCGGAGACACTGGGCTTATTGGCACCATGTGCCACCTTCCGGAGACACTGGGCTTATTGGCACCATGTGCCACCTTCAGGAGACACTGGGCTTATTGGCACCATGTGCCACCTTCCGGAGACACTGGGCTTATTGGCACCATGTGCCACCTTCAGGAGACACTGGGCTTATTGGCACCATGTGCCACCTTCCGGAGACACTGGGCTTATTGGCACCATGTGCCACCTTCCGGAGACACTGGGCTTATTGGCACCATGTGCCACCTTCCGGAGACACTGGGCTTATTGGCACCATGTGCCACCTTCCGGAGACACTGGGCTTATTGGCACCATGTGCCACCTTCCGGAGACACTGGGCTTATTGGCACCATGTGCCACCTTCCGGAGACACTGGGCTTATTGGCACCATGTGCCACCTTCCGGAGACACTGGGCTTATTGGCACCATGTGCCACCTTCCGGAGACACTGGGCTTATTGGCACCATGTGCCACCTTCCGGAGACACTGGGCTTATTGGCACCATGTGCCACCTTCCGGAGACACTGGGCTTATTGGCACCATGTGCCACCTTCCGGAGACACTGGGCTTATTGGCACCATGTGCCACCTTCAGGAGACACTGGGCTTATTGGCATCATGTGCCACCTTCAGGAGACACTGGGCTTATTGGCACCATGTGCCACCTTCCGGAGACACTGGGCTTATTGGCACCATGTGCCACCTTCCGGAGACACTGGGCTTATTGGCACCATGTGCCACCTTCCGGAGACACTGGGCTTATTGGCCCCATGTGCCACCTTCCGGAGACACTTGAAACCCCACCTCTTTAAGGAATACCTGGGATAGGATAAAGTAATCCTTCTACCCCCCCTTACCCCACCCCAAAGAAAGAAAAAAAAAAAACATATTGTAAAGTGGTTATCCCACTGGCTATAAGGTGAATGCTCCTCTCACTCACATGGCTCTCAGATATCTCAATTCTTATTAGCCAATGCCCGTCACGTGATCGGGTCCTTCTTACAGGCTACAAGTTAAGACCGACACATCGGGGACGCAACTGCGCGCGTCCTTATCGAATTCCAAGGTGCATATTGAAGACGTTGGAAGAACTGTCCACATTTACTTTTCGCCAGCCAACAAGATGAGTAGCCTAACGAACAGCAAAATCACTAGCCCATGTCAATCTACTATCCCCCATAGTACAGAAGTTGACCTGTTCTATTCTGTGAGAGAAATAAATATTCTAAACACAGTCTGGGACAGTTGTGGGATGTGATAGATCCCAAATTAATACAACCACTAGCATCAAAATACCTTCTAAAAGCAATGAGGCTGATGCAACAGATGAGAACGTTTATCTTAAAATGTTGATAAACTATTAGGCTATTTCTTCCCATTATAAGCGCAGCAATGCGCCCACAAGGCAGTAGGCTATAAGCGGGAATGTTCCTAAATGCCATTAATTAGCGGGAAAACACAATTCTCAACAGTGACCGAAAATGCGATTTATGCATGTTATGCTTTTATTATAAAGGGGCATTTTTATGGTGAAAATGATCTTCCCCAAACTTGAAACTCACTCGCTGCTTATGGCTCTACATTGGTTGTAAAACCTTATAGGCCTATGGGCTAGGCTACATGAGGTGGGTACTATGATTTGGCCTATGGGCTAGGCTACATGAGGTGGGGGCTATGATTTGGCCTATGGGCTAGGCTACATGAGGTGGGGGCTATGATTTGGCCTATGGGCTAGGCTACATGAGGTGGGGGCTATGATTAGGCCTATGGGCTAGGCTACATGAGGTGGGGGCTATGATTAGGCCTATGGGCTAGGCTACATGAGGTGGGGGCTATGATTTGGCCTATGGGCTAGGCTACATGAGGTGGGGGCTATGATTAGGCCTATGGGCTAGGCTACATGAGGTGGGGGCTATGATTAGGCCTATGGGCTAGGCTACATGAGGTGGGGGCTATGATTTGGCCTATGGGCTAGGCTACATGAGGTGGGGGCTATGATTTGGCCTATGGGCTAGGCTACATGAGGTGGGGGCTATGATTTGGCCTATGGGCTAGGCTACATGAGGTGGGGGCTATGATTTGGCCTATGGGCTAGGCTACATGAGGTGGGGGCTATGATTTGGCCTATGGGCTGGGCTACATGAGGTGGGGGCTATGATTTGGCCTATGGGCTAGGCTACATGAGGTGGGGGCTATGATTTGGCCTATGGGCTAGGCTACATGAGGTGGGGGCTATGATTAGGCCTATGGGCTAGGCTACATGAGGTGGGGGCTATGATTAGGCCTATGGGCTAGGCTACATGAGGTGGGGGCTATGATTTGGCCTATGGGCTAGGCTACATGAGGTGGGGACTATGATTAGGCCTATGGGCTAGGCTACATGAGGTGGGGGCTATGATTAGGCCTATGGGCTAGGCTACATGAGGTGGGGGCTATGATTTGGCCTATGGGCTAGGCTACATGAGGTGGGGGCTATGATTTGGCCTATGGGCTAGGCTACATGAGGTGGGGGCTATGATTTGGCCTATGGGCTAGGCTACATGAGGTGGGGGCTATGATTTGGCCTATGGGCTAGGCTACATGAGGTGGGGGCTATGATTTGGCCTATGGGCTAGGCTACATGAGGTGGGGGGGCTATGATTTGGCCTATGGGCTGGGCTACATGAGGTGGGGGCTATGATTTGGCCTATGGGCTGGGCTACATGAGGTGGGGGCTATGATTAGGCCTATGGGCTAGGCTACATGAGGTGGGGGCTATGATTTGGCCTATGGGCTAGGCTACATGAGGCTACATGAGGTGGGGGCTATGATTTGGCCTATGGGCTAGGCTACATGAGGCTACATGAGGTGGGGGCTATGATTTGGCCTATGGGCTAGGCTACATGAGGCTACATGAGGTGGGGGCTATGATTTGGCCTATGGGCTAGGCTACATGAGGTGGGGGCTATGATTTGGCCTATGGGCTAGGCTACATGAGGCTACATGAGGTGGGGGCTATGATTTGGCCTATGGGCTAGGCTACATGAGGTGTGCGACTATGATTTGAAGAAGTCGAAAAGGCATGCGCTGTTTCTTGCCTTACTGCACACAAGCAGAGCATCCTTCACAAGTGATAGGCTAATATTGTCACCCATCAGACTATTTTTGATTTTAATCTTGTCTTTACAAATACTAAATAATATATACAAAAGTATGTGGACACCCCTTCAAATTAGTGGATTCAGATATTTCAGCCACACCTGTTGCTGACAGGTGTATAAAATCGAGCACACAGCCATGCAATCTCCACAGACACAAATTGGCAGTAGAATGGCCTTACTAAAGACCTTTCAACGTGGCACCGTCATAGGATGCCACCTTTCCAAGAAGTCAGTTCGTCAAATTTCTGCCCTGCTAGAGCTGCCCCCGGTCAACTGAAAGTGCTGTTATTGTGAAGTGGAAACGTCTAGGAGCAACAACGGCTCAGCCACGAAGTGGTAGGCCACACAAGCTCACAGAACGGGACCACCGAGTGCTGAAGCACGTAAAACATTGCCTGTCCTCGGTTGCAACACTCACAACCGAGTTCCACTGCCTCTGGAAGCAACGTCAGTACAATAACTGTTCGTCGGGAGCTTTATGAAATGGGTTTCCATGACCGAGCAGCCGCACACAAGCCTAAAATCATAATGCGCAATGCCAAGCTGGAGTGGTGTAAAGCTTGCCGCCATTGGACTCTGGAGCAGTGGAAACGCGTTCTCTGGAGTGATGAATCATGCTTCACCGTCTGGCAGTCTGACGGATAAATCTGGTTTTGGTGGATACCAGGAGAACGCTACCAGCCCGAATGCATAGTGCCAACTGTGAAGTTTGGTGGAGGAGGAATATTGATCTGGGGCTGTTTTATGAGGGCATGTTTGGCAGCATGAGTGAAGGAGGCTTTGTTGCGAAATAGGAAGCCGATTCTAGATTTAACTTTGGATTGGAGATTCTTAATGTGAGTCTGGAAGGAGAGTTTACGGTCTAACCAGACACCTAGGTATTTGTAGTTGTCCACATACTCTAGGTCAGACTCGCCGAGAGTAGTGATTCTAGTCGGGTGGGCGGGTGCAAGCAGCGTTCGATTGAAGAGCATGCATTTAGTTTTACTAGCGTTTAAGAGCAGTTGGAGGCTACGGAAGGAGTGTTGTATGGCATTGAAGCTCGTTTGGAGGTTTGTTGACACAGTGTCCAATGAAGGGCCAGATGTATACAAAATGGTGTCGTCTGCATAGAGGTGGATCTGAGAGTCACCAGCAGCAAGAGCGACATCATTGATATACACAGAGAAAAGAGTCGGCCCGAGAATTGAACCCTGTGGCACCCCCATAGAGACTGCCATAGGTCCAGACAACAGGCCCTCCGATTTGACACATTGAACTCTATCTGAGAAGTAGTTGGTGAACCAGGCGAGGCAGTCATTTGAGAAACCAAGGCTATTTAGTCTGCCAATAAGAATGCGGTGGTTGACAGAGTCGAAAGCCTTGGCCAGGTCGATGAAGACGGCTGCACAGTACTGTCTTTTATCGATCGCGGTTATAATATCGTTTAGGACCTTGAGCGTGGCTGAGGTGCACCCATGACCAGCTCGGAATATGTTGCGTAACACTGCCTGAATTCCATTTATAAGAGCCCTCAATGCAGATAAGCCTGACAAACTCCTCAGTGTTGCTTCAACATTACAAAATTAAGTGTTTTGCTTATCAGAATAATCACCCCATTTTTGGGGGGTTTGGAATTAAATTAGCTATGGTAAACTTCTGCAACCCAGCCTCTAAATTTCAGTGACTCTGTATCTGTTAAATGTGATTCCTGTATGAACACAATATCTGCCTATTTTGATTTTAAATATGTCAATCTTTATCCTCTTCACTTGGTTACAACCATTTATGTTCCAAGAGATTGTACCATTAGCCATATTTGCGCTGAGTAGTTATAGTGTGAAGTGTCCCATTTTAACACACGACAACTCTAATGAACATCCTTATATAACATTTCACAATACATGCTCCAGCTGTACAATAAAACGTTGGAAACCAATCCCCAAATAAAACAAAGCAACTAGGAACGTAACGTTGCTTCTCGATGAGTCGATCATCACAGAACTGTCTGATGCTGCAGAAGAAGACCTGCAGTCAACTCAAACTTCCTTATGGTCCGTGAGGCGCCTGAACGGCTAAATTAGCAACACTCCCCAGAGTCCCGCAAACACACAGGCTGCCTTCATTTGTATAGTAAACGGCAAACAGTTAAACTTGTATTTGACCTTGTCTCATCTTCTTTATCTAGGCCTTCTGTGAATACAGCGTGTTAGGCTTGAATACGTTTTTAGTGTGTGTCGACATTCCAACAACGCCACTTTAGCGAGATGTTTCAAAATGTAAATGTATCTTTATATTAAACTGTACTTGAAGTCAATATATTAAGACAAAAATGTAAGTTTATGCCGTTGAATTTCAGTATTTACATGCAGGTGTTAGGAGCACTCTAAAGTACTGCCATCTTTATCTTGTTATGAACCGTTTGTGTAATCTGAACCTCTCCTTCCACAGAGGGGGTCTACGGCGGCGGAGCCAGTGTTCTCCAGCAGCCTGTGGGGTCCGTCGTGTGACGGCCTAGACCAGGTGTTGGAGCACTGCCTGCTGCCTGAGCTCAGCCCTGGAGACTGGCTGGTCTTTAACAACATGGGGGCCGCTGGCCTGGGGGGCCCCTCAGCCATCAGACCAGCTGTCTACCACACTGTCTCCACCGCTGACTGGTACGTGGGGGGGGGGTTGCTTAACCCGTATGGTAGATAAACCATCATAATGAAAACGTGTCACACTGAAATAACTGAGTAGCATCTACAATGTCACATCATTAACATCAGTTTTGATGTCATGCTAGGAGTTACGCTCATGTTAGATATCAATGGGATGTCCGGCATGATGGGAGTTATGCTCATATTTAGGGATGTTAATGGTTAGTCGTTAGCAGTTGAAAATACATTTGACCGTCATGCTTATCAGTCTGTAGGTTAATTTGCATCATTTCATGGAATTAAATTGGTGTTCGAATTTTAACAAAATCGTCAGCCATGAAACAGGAACAGTGTCTTGGTCGACCGGAATTATTAAATTGCCAAAAATAGTCATGTACAGCGAGTTTTATAGAGTTAGAAAGCTTTTTTACGTCAACTAATGGCTCTGTCTCTAGTTAGAAAATAACTTTCTTATTTGCATATAGTCATTTAGCAGACGCTCTTACAAATTGGTGCATTCAACTTATGATAGCCAGTGGGACAAGCACTTTTTTTTTTATGGGGGGGGGGGGGGGGGGGGGGGGGTAGAAGGATTACTGTTATACTATTCCAGGTATTCCTTAAAGAGGTGGGGTTTCAAGTGTCTCCGGAAGGTGGTGAGTGACTCCGCTGTCCTGGCGTCGTGAGGGAGCTTGTTCCACCATTGGGGTGCCAGAGCAGCGAATAGCTTTGACTGGGCTGAGCGGGAACTATGCTTCCGCAGAGGTAGGGGGACCAGCAGGCCAGAGGTGGAAGAACGCAATGCCCTCGTTTGGGTGTAGGGACTGATCAGAGCCTGAAGGTACGGAGGTGCCGTTCCCCTCACAGCTCCGTAGGCAAGCACCATGGTTTTGTAGTAGATGCGAGCTTCAACTGGAAGCCAGTGGAGTGTGCGGAGGAGCGGGGTGACATGAGAGAACTTGGGAAGGTTGAACACCAGACGGGCTGCGGCGTTCTGGATAAGTTGTAGGGGTTTAATGGCACAGGCAGGGAGCCCAGCCAACAGCGAGTTGCAGTAATCCAGACGGGAGATGACAAGTGCCTGGATTAGGACCTGTGCCGCTTCCTGTGTAAGGCAGGGTCGTACTCTGCGAATGTTGTAGAGCATGAACCTACAGGATCGGGTCACCGCTTTGATGTTAGCGGAGAACGACAGGGTGTTGTCCAGGGTCACGCCAAGGTTCTTTGCACTCTGGGAGGAGGACACAATGGAGTTGTCAACCGTGATGGCGAGATCATGGAGCGGGCAGTCCTTCCCCGGGAGGAAGAGCAGCTCCGTCTTGCCGAGGTTCAGCTTGAGGTGGTGATCCGACAACCACACTGATATGTCTGCCAGACATGCAGAGATGCGATTCGCCACCTGGTAATCAGAAGGGGGAAAGGAGAAAATTAATTGTGTGTTGTCTGCGTAGCAATGATAGGAGAGACCATGTGAGGATATGACAGTGCCAAGTGACTTGGTGTATAGGGAGAATAGGAGAGGGCCTAGAACTGAGCCCTGGGGGACACCAGTGGTGAGAGCACGTGGTGCGGAGACAGATTCTCACCACGCCATCTGGTAGGAGCGACCTGTCAGGTAGGACGCAATCCAAGAGTGAGCAGCGCCGGAGATGCCCAACTCGGAGAGGGTGGAGTGGAGGATCTGATGGTTCACAGTATCAAAGGCAGCAGACAGGTCTAGAAGGACGAGAGCAGAGGGGAGAGAGTTAGCTTTAGCAGTGCGGAGAGCCTCCGTGACACAGAGAAGAGCAGTCTCAGTTGAATGACCAGTCTTGAAACCTGACTGGTTTGGATCAAGAAGGTCATTCTGAGAGAGATAGCAAGAGAGTTGGCTAAAGACGGCACGCTCAAGAGTTTTGGAGAGAAAAGAAAGAAGGGATACTGGTCTGTAGTTGTTGACATCGGAGGGATCGAGTGTTGGTTTTTTGAGGGGTGCAACTCTCGCTCTCTTGAAGACGGAAGGGACATAGCCAGCGGTCAAGGATGAGTTGATGAGCGAGGTGAGGTAAGGGAGAAGGTCTCCGGAAATGGTCTGGAGAAGACAGGAGGGGATAGGGTCAAGCAGGCAGGTTGTTGGGCAGCCGGCCGTCACAAGTCGCAAGATTTCATCTGGAGAGAGAGGGGAGAAAGAAGTCAAAGCATAGGGTAGGACAGTGTGAGCAGGACCAGCGGTGTCATTTGACTTAATAAATGAGGATCGGATGTCGTCAACCTTCTTTTCAAAATGGTTGACGAAGTCATCCACAGAGAGGGAGGAGGGAGGGGGAGGAGGATTCAGCAGGGAGGAGAATGTGGCAAAGAGCTTCCTAGGGTTAGAAGCAGAGGCTTGAAATTTAGAGTGGTAGAAAGTGGCTTTAGCAGCAGAAACAGAGGAAGAAAATAGCTTACCTCAACTAATGGCTGTCTCTAGTCAGATAGTTAGAACAACTAATGGCTGTGTGGAGTGGAGACTCGTTGCTAGGCAACTCACACAGGAAGCAGTGGGGGAGAGAGGGGAGCGGCTAACAACTACAGTTAAACTAGCAACCAAAAACGTTTCATAGCCTTTCTCTCCTGTTGTACTGGTTTTCATATCAACTTTCTTTAGTTGTCACAATCACAGTCATATTAACAACCCACCCTAGTTGTTGTATATCTATGTTTTTTCTCTTTGTAAAAGTTGCTAATGGAGAAGTTCATCTCTGTCACATGAAACGGCTTCATAAGGTGTGTCTTTTTAGAACAGTGTTTTTCCTCATTGCATTTTGGCAAATGTTTGAAAATGATGCGTTACATTGTCTGCTTCAGTAGTGTTTGTATGTTCAATAACATGAGGTGATAGGCTTGCTATTGTCACATGTTTTTTTTAAGCTCTTAATGGAAAAAAAGTTTGTTCATAGTATTCCATGCATAGTATTTTCTGTTTTAACCGGTTAGTGGGGGTTGGTTAGTCGGCAACAAAATTGACTGAAATTTGCATCCATAGTCATATTAGATATCAATATGATGTCCATCATCATGCTAGGAGTTACGCTCAGATACCGAAGTGATGCTGTACAAGAAATATTGGCGCCCCACTTCTTCCACCTTCACTGTTTGTGATGGAGAATATCTTAAAACTTTGACAAGATGTACACCGAAGACCTTGTGTTGTAAGCTATACCGTCGTTGCCCATTCACTGCTTTATTGTATTCCAGTGCAACTTTATTATTCAAACCAGTGTCCTCTGTGTTCCCCAGGTACACCATGCAGGAGGCTGGGATAGCTGTGGACAACATTATGAAGAACTTCTCCATGGTCCATTACGGTGCATAGCTCTGCTCGGTCCCTCCCCTCTCCATTATGACATCAGAGAGATACCACCTTACCCTGGGCGTTCAGTGATCAGCATTCCAACAGCCTTGGAAAATGCTGTGTTCAACTTTCCAGGAAAGTTAAAGACTTGTGATTTCCTGGGAACAGGAAACGATTGATTGGTGACCCCCCCCATACCTCAATTCTCAAATTTTGTTTTTGGAAAATATAAAAAGATCAACATTTTATCCCTCTTCCTACTCCTCCCTCCCTCAATCGCCGTCAGCTAGAAAACAACACGTTTAACAATAACATATGCAACAAAATGGATGACTGGCGATGGAACCCTGCTTCCTAACCAGGTTTATTAATTAGATACAGTTTACATAAATGTGCAATTGGTTAATTTCTGTTATGTTGATTACCTGTTGACAGTCTTGTAAAAATCAGTTGTCTGTTCAACATGATGATGTATTTGTCTAATGAAGAGGATTTTCCAGGTTTTTAATATTTAAAATCAGTACTACATTTATGCTTTTGACCCACATAGTCTAGTGAAAGTGAGACGTTAACCTAACCCATTCTTGATTACATTTGATATTTGGGTTTATTAATTGCATTTATAAAACAATATGGAGTGCGTTTTGAGCTCCAGCCAACGTTCCCCTAGTACATGCCGTTTCACTTAACAGTGTTGTCCTCTCTGAAGATATTGCTGTCTTTTTCAACGCTACATTGATAACTGTGCTGCGATTCCATTGTGACGTCTTAACGTTCTTACATGGTGAGAGAGAGCGAGGCATTTTGAAGGATTTGTTGAAGCGATTTGCTTCTGATAGGAACGCCACAGTCTGAACAGAAAACTAGCTGGGTTCTGTTTGCTAATATACAGACAGAACTTTACCAGGCTAGCAGAAAGCGGTCCTCAGTTCTAAGTCCTATTGAGGAAGTGTTCTGGACAGCGAAGCCCCCTACAGCATTACAAGCCCCCTACAGCATTACAAGCCCCCTACAGCATTACAAGCCCCCCTACAGCATTACAAGCCCCCCTACAGCATTACAAGCCCCCCTACAGCATTACAAGCCCCCCTACAGCATTACAAGCCCCCCTACAGCATTACAAGCCCCCCTACAGCATTACAAGCCCCCCTACAGCATTACAAGCCCCCCTACAGCATTACAAGCCCCCCTACAGCATTACAAGCCCCCCTACAGCATTACAAGCCCCCTACAGCATTACAAGCCCCCCTACAGCATTACAAGCCCCCCTACAGCATTACAAGCCCCCCTACAGCATTACAAGCCCCCTACAGCATTACAAGCCCCCTACAGCATTACAAGCCCCCTACAGCATTACAAGCCCCCTACAGCATTACAACCCCCCTACAGCATTACAACCCCCCCTACAGCATTACAAGCCCCCCCTACAGCATTACAAGCCCCCCTACAGCATTACAAGCCCCCCTACAGCATTACAAGCCCCCCTACAGCATTACAAGCCCCTACCATACAAGCCCCCCTACAGCATTACAAGCCCCCTACAGCATTACAAGCCCCCCTACAGCATTACAAGCCCCCCTACAGCATTACAAGCCCCCCTACAGCATTACAAGCCCCCCTACAGCATTACAAGCCCCCTACAGCATTACAAGCCCATGGCGTTCACTCTGATCATGCAGTATCAGCTGCTCTGGTGGGTTAGGGAGATACAACTGACATCAGCCTTGAGGCTTGGACACACTTGGAACATTTTGTTTCTATAAACATGTTTAACCACAAGTGTGTTGCAAGGCCTTGTTCTCTGTCGGCACAGTGCGTAGCAGCCCACTAACAGACAATAGACGTGTCTTCATATTTATTTGGAACTAGCTTCTCATGCCTCGCTTACTGGATGATGGGCTGGAATATGGAGTCTAACTGTGGTGGGCTGGAATATGGAGTCTAACTGTATGAGTGACAAGGAGTGGGTATGATAGCACAGACAGACTGGCACTCAGGCTAGACCAGACCTGACTGAACTCTCAACTTTCGAAGGCACTAATGGACCATATCCTATTTTTGACTGTAAATTGTGCTTGTTAAAGTAATGCAAGTGATTAATTTAATACATATTTTTGACTGAAACCCTGTCTTTGGAGTTTAGTTTTTTGCATCTCTGGGAATATAAATACACTGCTCAAAAAAATAAAGGGAACACTTAAACAACACAATGTAACTCCAAGTCAATCACACTTCTGTGAAATCAAACTGTCCACTTAGGAAGCAACACTGATTGACAATACATTTCACATGCTGTTGTGCAAATGGAATAGACAACAGGTGGAAATTATAGGCAATTAGCAAGACACCCCCAATAAAGGACTGGTTTTGCAGGTGGTGACCACAGACCACTTCTCAGTTCCTATGCTTCCTGGCTGATGTTTTGGTCACTTTTGAATGCTGGCGGTGCTTTCACTCTAGTGGTAGCATGAGACGGAGTCTACAACCCACACAAGTGGCTCAGGTAGTGCAGCTCATCCAGGATGGCACATCAATGCGAGCTGTGGCAAGAAGGTTTGCTGTGTCTGTCAGCATAGTGTCCAGAGCATGGAGGCGCTACCAGGAGACAGGCCAGTACATCAGGAGACGTGGAGGAGGCCGTAGGAGGGCAACAACCTAGCAGCAGGACCACTACCTCCGCCTTTGTGCAAGGAGGAGCAGGAGGAGCACTGCCAGAGCCCTGCAAAATGACCTCCAGCAGGCCACAAATGTGCATGTGTCTGCTCAAACGGTCAGAAACAGACTCCATGAGGGCCCGACGTCCACAGGTGGGGGTTGTGCTTACAGCCCAACACCGTGCAGGAAGTTTGGGATTTGCCAGAGAACACCAAGATTGGCAAATTCGCCACCGGCGCCTTGTGCTCTTCACAGATGAAAGCAGGTTCACACTGAACACGTGACAGAGTCTGGAGACGCCGTGGAGAACGTTCTGCTGCCTGCAACATCCTCCAGCATGACCGGTTTGGCGGTGGGTCAGTCATGGTGTGGGGTAGCATTTCTTTGGGGTCCGCACAGCTCTCCATGTGCTCGCCAGAGGTAGCCTGACTGCCATTAGGTACCGAGATGAGATCCTCAGACCCCTTGTGAGACCATATGCTGGTGCGGTTGGCCCTGGGTTCCTCCTAATACAAGACAATGCTAGACCTCATGTGGCTGGAGTGTGTCAGCAGTTCCTGCAAGAGGAAGGCATTGATGCTATGGACTGGCCCGCCCGTTCCCCAGACCTGAATCCAATTGAGCACATCTGGGACATCATGTCTCGCTCCATCCACCAACGCCACGTTGCACCACAGACTGTCCAGGAGTTGGCGGATGCTTTAGTCCAGGTCTGGGAGGAGATCCCTCAGGAGACCATCCGCCACCTCATCAGGAGCATGCCCAGGCGTTGTAGGGAGGTCATACAGGCACGTGGAGGCCACACACACTACTGAGCCTCATTTTGACTTGTTTTAAGGACATTACATCAAAGTTGGATCAGCCTGTAGTGTGGTTTTCCACTTTAATTTTGAGTGTGACTCCAAATCCAGACCTCCATGGGTTGATACATTTGATTTCCATTGATAATTTGTGTGATTTTGTTGTCAGCACATTCAACTATGTAAAGAAAAAAGTATTTAATAAGATTATTTCATTCATTCAGATCTAGGATGTGTTATTTTAGTGATCCCTTTATTTTTTTGAGCAGTGTATATATATTCACTCACTCAACCAGTCAAAAGTTTGGACACACCTACTCATTCAAGGGTTTTTATTTATTTTTACTATGTTCTACATTGTAGAATAATAGTGAAGACATCAAAACTATGAAATAACACATATGGAATCATGTAGTAACCAAAAAAGTGTTCAACAAATTTAGATTAGATTTTAGATTCTTCAAATAGCCACCCTTTGCCTTGACTGCTTTGCACACTCTTGGCATTAGGCCCATAGTTCTCATGGGTAGACTTATAGTTCTCATGGGTAGACTTATAGTTATCATGGGTAGGCCTATTTGCAGGAAAGATTAGAGTCCAATCCTTACTGTGTAGTACATTTTCGATATAGTCAATCAGAAAAGGATATTAAAACAAATGTTGAGCTCCAGAAAGGGAGCAATTTGTATTTATTAGGGATCCCCATTAGCTGCTGCCAAGGTAAGTTACTCTTCCTGGGGTCCAAACATATTAAACCACTTACATTACATATAAAACAGTACATCATATGACATTATTACACCACTACATATCTACAATAAAAAATGTTTAATACCACCATACAACAATATCACAATGTGTGCGTATGCATGTGTCTATACCCTTGTGTGTGTCTCTTCACAGTCCCCGTTGTTCCATAAGGTGTATTTTTACCCGTTTTTTTAATCTGATTCTACTGCTTGCATCAGTTACCTGATGTGGAATAGAGTTCCATGTAGTCATGGCTCTATGTAGTACTGTGCACCTCCCATAGTCTGCTCTGGACTTGGGGACTGTGAAGAGACCTCTGGTGGCATGTCTTGTGGGGTATGCATGGGTGTCCGAGCTGTGTGATAGTAGTTTAAACAGACAGCTCGGTGCATTCAGCTTGTCAACACCTCTTACAAAAACAAGCAGTGATGAAGTCAATCTCTCTTCCACTCTGAGCCAGGAGAGACTGACATGCATGTCATTAATGTTAGCTCTCCGTGTACTTTTAAGGGCCAGCCGTGCTGCCCTGTTCTGAGCCAACTGCAATTTTCCCAAGTCCCTCTTTGTGGCACCTGACCACACGACTGAACAGTAGTCCAGGTGTGACAAAACTAGGGCCTGTAGGACCTGCCTTGTTGATAGTGCTGTTAAGGCAGAGCAGCGCTTAATTATGGACAGACTTCTCCCCATTTTACATTTACATTTACATTTTAGTCATTTAGCAGACGCTCTTATCCAGAGCGACTTACAGTTAGTGAATACATATATATATATTTTTTTTAGCTACTGTTGTATCAATATGCTTTGACCATGACAGTCTACAATCCAGGGTTACTCCAAGCAGTTTAGTCACCTCAACTTGCTCAATTTCCACATTATTCATTACAAGATGTAGTTGAGGTTTAGGGTTCAGTGAATGATTTGACCCAAATACAATGCTTTTAGTTTTGGAAATATTCAGGACTTATTTATTCCTTGCCACCCATTCCGAAACTAACTGCAACTCTTTGTTAAGCGTTGCAGTCATTTCAGTCGCTGTAGTAGCTGACGTGTATAGTGTTGAGTCATCCGCATACATAGACACACAGGCTTTACTCACAGCCAGTGGCATGTCGTTAGTAAAGATTGAAAAAAGTAATGGGCCTAGACAGCTGCCCTGGGGAATTCCTGATTCTACCTGGATTTTGTTGGAGAGGCTTCCATTAAAGAACACCCTCTGTGTTCTGTTAGACAATTAACTCTTTATCCACATTATAGCAGGGGGTGTAAAGCCATAACACGTATGTTTTTCCAGCAACAGACTATGATCGATAATGTCAAAAGCCGTACTGAAGTCTAACAAAACAGCCCCTGCAATCTTTTCATCACCAATTTCTCTCAGCCAATCATCAGTCATTTGTGTAAGTGCTGTGCTTGTTGAATGTCCTTCTCTATAAGCCTGCTGAAAGTTTGTTGTCAATTTGTTAACAGTAAAATAGCATTGTATCTGGTCAAACACCATTTTTGGTAGGTTTGGTAACAGGCTGATTGGTTGGCTATTTGAGCCAGTAAAGCGGGCTTTACTATTCTTAGGCAGTGGAATGACTTTTACTTCCCTCCAGGTCTGAGGGCACACACTTTCTAGTAGGCTTAGATTGAAGATATGGCAAATAGAAGAGGCAATATCGTCCGCTATTATCCTCTGTAATTTTCCATCCAAGTTGTCAGACCCCGGTGGCTTGTCATTGTTGATAGACAACAATACTTTTTTCACCTCTTCCACACTCACTTTACGGAATTCAAAATTACAATGCTCGTCTTTCATAATTTGGTCAGATATACTTGGATGTGTGGTGTCAGCGTTTGTTGCTGGCATGTCATGCCTAAGTTTGCTAATCTTGCCAATGAAAACATTATTTAAGTAGTTGGCAATATGTTGGTTTTGTGCACAGGAAAATTGTCAAGGTGCACAGAGAAATTAAGAGCCAATGCTGCTCAGAACAGAAGTGGCATTGGAGTAGATGCGTCAGTGTTGGAAATATAAAATCTGAACGACACACAAATATATATTTATTTTTTCAGGTCACTGCATTTACTGAAAGAAAAACTTAAGAATGAAACATTGGCACAAATAATCATTTTTCGTGTACAGTGCTATATTTGTACCATATAGCTTCCAGGCAACCCATTTAAAGCTGTTTGACCCCTGTAAAAGGTCTGCAACACTCCGTATTATTCAGAGCCCCGTGAAACGACACCATATATACATTCTACAGACACTACTGAGTATTCCCTACAAAACTTTTACAGCGGAACCTAGAATAGTTTTTGCTCTATAAGCCAATATGTATTTCATATACAGTGATTTGCATTGGGGGCATTTATTTGACCTTGGAACAGGTTTTAACACCCAAATGTAATGCAAATGTCGCTTAAATATGAACAAATATGAATAATTGTTAATGTTTAGACAATTATTTTTCATATATAATGAATAAATACAGGTTATAGACACTTTTCTACTATTACGTGGGGGGCTTTTATTTTGAAAGTTTTTTCGAAATTCCGTGACCCGGAAGTACTTTTATTTTTGCGTTGTTGAGGAGACGCAAATTTTGAAAGCCCAAGACCAAAGACAGTCCAGAATAAATATAGGCAGAGACCGCTTCTCCAACAGAAATCCACGATCACGGTTGTAGGCGATGTCATGGTGACGTTGGCTCGCTAAACTCATGCGCAGAAAACGTAATCGGGTCTAACGTTGAGATACTTTTTGAGGAGATGGGAAACTTCATTGGCATCGTAGTCAAGCACCATGAGTCGGCAATGGTGCATTGTTGGCGATTCTGGGACAAGGAGGGTGAATGAGAGTCAATTGGGTGCTAGCTCAAAAACCCAACATTAGCATTATAAATATTTTCCGAGATAATTAACATGTTCTCTGTAATATCTTATAGCTTTTTGAAATCGTGACGTTGCAGACCATCGAGGAAAATAGGTTCTCGACTCATGCCGCGTTCACGTCCTCGTCGAAACTCTGACATTTCTGACTTGCTAACTGGTTTAAAACGGCATGTGTATAACTACAACCAATTTACAAGTGGAACATTTTAGAGTAATTTAGTTCCGACGTGAACGTGGTAACATTCCTTGACTTTTAGAAGGGATTGCGTGACGATTATCTTAGCAACCGTTTGACGCAGCATGACGACAGAGTGTTGTACGTTTCTCCGTTTATTTCCCGCTGGGATTGTTGTCTCTTCCTCTATTATCTCGGTCGAACTGTGCAGGCCGTCAAATCAAAAGCCACTCCTTCGATATAAAGTTGTTTTTGACGGAAATGAAAACGTGTGAGTTTGTCACTTTCACGAGGTTAGAGTAATAATATGTTAAACTACTTAAGACGTTGGCTCGAATCTACGTTGTGCGTTTAGATTTGGAGAACATTTACATCTAAGAAGAAAAAAAGTGAACTTCTCTCACTAACGTGTTGAAACCCAAACCCCGGCGGAGTCTGCTTGGTCTGGTTCCGAAACGTTCTCGGAAGTGTCGCGATGTTGCGCCTCTGGGTTTAGAAACTCTTTGACGGGACCAAAGACAAGACCGTGGAAACTACCGGCAGCGACTTCACTGCCTGAGTGTTGACGAAATGGACTGCTCAAATCTAACGAACCTACGCACAGAGTCCAACGATTACCAGGTAACAATAATGCAAACCTGTCGAAAATGCTTTGTTTCATTATGTGTAGTTGTATTGGTATTACTTGATGCCGCTTTAAATTGCCTAGTGTGTGAGCTTGTGTAACCTAAAAACAAAGACGGCTACTACTGCGACCAAGTATGAACAGCTGAGGTATATGTAGTGGAGTTCAGTCCCCTAAACCGAATGGAACAACCGAAACCTTCAGCGGCATTCAGGGTCGGCACCTTTGGGAACGTTGTTGCAATATTGCGGCATTGATTGTTGATCTAAATTTAAAGGTCGATAAAGACTGCGATCACAAGAACTAGGCCTATAATTGCGACAAAGAGCATGTTACCAAGCTGCAATTTATAATAGCAGACAACTTATTTATTGATCAGGTAGTTACGTGTACTCAAATATAATGTTGCTGCTATTTTATCTAAGAACTGTAATGTCGTCCGTGTGTACAGGGGTGTTGTGCTGCCGGAGCACGGAGGAGCTGCGCTCCTAAACCTTTTTCAATTTGACTCGAGAATACATGGAGCTGGTCAAACAATTTCTGGAACAATTATTCCGATACATTCTAAATAAATGATATTTAATTACCACTCAAATTCAATGAAACTATAGAATGACAAACCAAATACATATGTATAGCAGCCTAGAGGTAGGTGGATCTCTCTGGTAGTGGCAGGAATGATGAATGGCAGTTAGGCTGGCTGTGTGCACTGCAGAGACCCTTCAGAGGCCTGACCACTGTGGCCAATCACAACGCTAGAGAAACAAACCGTGTCTGCCTTGAGGATGTTCATAAAACTCCACAGACCCCTTCTTGAGCAGTGGAACCCAGATGTATATGTCACCACTTGGTTAAGGTGACACCGTTTTGCCCAGGACACCCAAAAACAAAGCCCAAGGATCCTGACCCCCTCTGGAAGTTGCTGTAGCCCTGCTTGGGATATTTAGCCAACATTTGGCTGTTGGTTGAGACACAGGGCCCGTTCTAGCTGGGTATGTCAGGGTGGGCAATTGGAAATGTGAATTGGGCCAAGATGGAGGTAATGCATTTAGGTTATAGTTTATTGAGATGAATGAATACACCACACCAAAAACGTGATTTTTATGGCTGTTTTAAAACGAATTTCCTGCAATTCTTCATAGTAATGATTTATGTTCACTACTTGCTCAGTTGATTTAATAGCCTTTTTTATCTATGCAAATAAATTCTATGAATTGATAGTTAACTTCTGTTATTTAATTCTCTAGTAGGATATATTGTAACCATGTGTTCAAGCTAATCAAATCAAAGCTTATTTATGATACAGCATGTAAGCTATAGAATGAAATGCCTGCTCGCAATAAAGCTCTCCTCTCAGACAGTGGCATGATATTAAGCTATGTGTATTTACATTAGTCTATAGCCTACAAACAGCTACAGTGCCTTCGGAAAGTATTCAGACCCCTTGACTTTTTCCACATTTTGTTACGTTACAGCTTTATTCTAAAATTGATGAAATTGTTTTTTTCCCTCATCAATCTACACACAATACCCCATAACAGAGCAAAAATAGGTTTTTAGACATTTTTGCAAATGTATTACAAATGAAAAATTGATATCACATTTACATAAGTATTCAGACCCTTTACTCAGTACTTTGTTGAAGCACCTTTGGCAGCGATTACAGCCTCAAGTCTTCTTGGGTATGACGCTACAAGCTTGGCACACCTGTATTTGGGGAGTTTCTCCCATTCTTCTCTGCAGATCCTCTCAAGCTCTGTCAGGTTGGATGGGGAGCGTTGCTGCACAGCTATTTTCAGGTCTCTCCAGAGATGCTTGATCGGGTTAAAGTCCCGGCTCTGGCTGGGCCACTCAAGGACATTTAGAGACTTGTCCCGAAGCCACTCCTGCGTTGTCTTGGCTGTGTGCTTAGGGTCGTTGTCCTGTTGGAAGGTGAACCTTCGCCCCAGTCTGAGGTCCTGAGCACTCTGGAGTAGGTTTTCATCAAGGATTTCTCTGTACTTTGCTCCGTTAAACTTTGCCTCGATCCTGACCAGTCTCCCAGTCCCTGCCACTGAAAAACATCCCCACAGCATGATGCTGCCACCACCATGCTTCACCGTAGGGATGATGCCAGGTTTCCTCCAGACGTGACACTTGGCATTCAGGCCAAAGAGTTCAATCTTGGTTTCATCAGACCAGATAATCTTATTTCTTCTGGTCTGAGAGTCCTTTAGGTGCCTTTTGGCAAACTCCAAGAGGGCTGTCATGTGCCTTTTACTGAGGAGTGGCTTCCATCTGGCCACTCTACCATAAAGGCCTGATTGGTGGAGTGCTGCAGAGATGGTTGTCCTTCTGGAAGATTCTCCCATCTCCACAGAGGAGCTCTGTCAGAGTGACCATTGGGTGCTTGGTCACCTCCCTGACCAAGACCTTCTCCCCAATTGTTCAGTTTGGCCGGGCAGCCAGCTCTAGGAAGAGTCTTGGTGGTTCCACACTTCTTCCATTTAAGAATGATGGAGGCCACTGTGTTGTTGGGGACCTTCAATGCTGCAGAATATTTTTGATACCCTTCCCCAGATCTGTGCCTCGACACAATCCTGTCTCGGAGCTCTACGGACAATTCCTTTGACCTCATGGCTTGGTTTTTGCTCTGACATGCACTGTCAACTGTGGGACCTTATATAGACAGGTCTGTGCCTTTCCAAATCATGTCCAATCAATTGCATTTACCACAGGTGGACTCCAATCAAGTTGTAGAAACATCTCAAGGATGATCAATGGAAACAGGATTCACCTGAGCTCAATTTCGAGTCTCATAGCAAAGGGTCTGAATATTTCTGTTGATTATTTTGAATACATTTGCAAACATTTCTAAAAAACGGTTTTTGCTTTGTCATTATGGGGTATTGTGTGTAGATTGATGAGGATAAAAAAATAATCAATTTTAGAATAAGGCTGTAACGTAACAAAGTGGAAAAAGTCAAGGGGTCTGAACACTTTCTGAATGCACTGATCACTACGTAGTCACAGGCCTATTAGACTATAGCCTACTGCAAACTATTGTTGTTTGTTCCTGAACAGGCCAAATGGCAGAGCTATCCTTCAGCTATCCTTCAGCTATCCTTCAGCACCACAAGTTGGTTGAACTTCTTTCATTAACATCATTGTGTGATTCTGTCCTTCCTCTTAAAGTCCTTAAGTCCTTTCGCTTAAAATAACCCTTGTCAAGTTCTGTCTAATAGTCCCCCTCGTCAAGTTCTGTCTATTAGTCCCCCTCGTCAAGTTCTGTCTAATAGTCCCCCTCGTCAAGTTCTGTCTAATAGTCCCCCTCGTCAAGTTCTGTCTAATAGTCCCCCCTCATCAAGTTCTGTCTAATAGTCCCCCTCGTCAAGTTCTGTCTAATAGTCCCCCTCATCAAGTTCTGTCTAATAGTCCCCCTCATCAAGTTCTGTCTAATAGTCCCCCTCGTCAAGTTCTGTCTAATAGTCCCCCTCATCAAGTTCTGTCTAATAGTCCCCCTCGTCAAGTTCTGTCTAATAGTCCCCCTCGTCAAGTTCTGTCTAATAGTCCCCCTCGTCAAGTTCTGTCTAATAGTCCCCCTCATCAAGTTCTGTCTAATAGTCCCCCTCATCAAGTTCTGTCTAATAGTCCCCCTCGTCAAGTTCTGTCTAATAGTCCCCCTCGTCAAGTTCTGTCTAATAGTCCCCCTCATCAAGTTCTGTCTAATAGTCCCCCTCATCAAGTTCTGTCTAATAGTCCCCCTCATCAAGTTCTGTCTAATAGTCCCCCTCATCAAGTTCTGTCTAATAGTCCCCCTCGTCAAGTTCTGTCTAATAGTCCCCCTCATCAAGTTCTGTCTAATAGTCCCCCTCATCAAGTTCTGTCTAATAGTCCCCCTCATCAAGTTCTGTCTAATAGTCCCCCTCGTCAAGTTCTGTCTAATAGTCCCCCTCGTCAAGTTCTGTCTAATAGTCCCCCTCATCAAGTTCTGTCTAATAGTCCCCCTCATCAAGTTCTGTCTAATAGTCCCCCTCATCAAGTTCTGTCTAATAGTCCCCCTCATCAAGTTCTGTCTAATAGTCCCCCTCGTCAAGTTCTGTCTAATAGTCCCCCTCGTCAAGTTCTGTCTAATAGTCCCCCTCATCAAGTTCTGTCTAATAGTCCCCCTCGTCAAGTTCTGTCTAATAGTCCCCCTCATCAAGTTCTGTCTAATAGTCCCCCCCCTCATCAAGTTCTGTCTAATAGTCCCACTTATCACTTAGTAGTACTAATAGAAGATGATCACTTCTCACAATGGTGCTGGTTTAGTAAAGTTAGATCAAAGCTGAATCAATGTCTTGCAAGATCACAATAATTAATTTGCTTTTTACATAACAGAACTGAATATAATATAATGGCATAGCATAGTTAGCATATAACGTTCCTGTTACACCAAAAACACCGAACTTCTAATGACATTTTAGGGTGGTTAGCTGAAGCTGAATAGTCAGATAAAATAAGTATCATGAAACGCCAAAACCCAACAGCAAAATACAAGAAAGGCTAATAGTTTACAATGGAGTCATTTAGCAGACGCTCTTATCCAGAGCGTCTGCTCTCATCCATTTTATTTTAATTTTTTATTTTCATACTGATCCCCCGTGGGAAACGAACCCACAACCCTGGCGTTGCGAAAGCCACGCTCTACCAACTGGGCTACAGGGGACTAGCTGCTCTGATTCACCAAACAGTAATTCAAGAAGATCTAAATGCATATTCCCATGAAACTGATTGAGATCACGTGATTGGCCTAGAGCAACACAAGGAGATGCAGTATGGACAGTAAAACATGACAGATTATCATTCACCACTGAAAGTGACGATGGCCCATTTTAAATGAGGTGTGCCTAACTTGGTGTTTGAGGGTAAAAATATACATAGTTCTTTAGACTATGGCCTATGTGTGGGCAAATAGGCAGATGTTGCAATTGGAGGATGCATTTTTCAATGCATATTTCATAATGGTAATAGGTTATTAAATTGGCTACGTCTGTCGGTCCAAACTTTGAGGAAATTATGTCATTTACTTTTTGTTGTTGTTGCACTCCCTCACCTAAAAACATGGCGCTACACCGCTGGCTAGATCAGATGAAACATGGGCTAGATCAGATGAAACATGGCGCTACACCGCTGGCTAGATCAGATGAAACATGGCGCTCCACCGCTGGCTAGATCAGATGAAACATGGCGCTCCACCGCTGGCTAGATCAGATGAAACATGGCGCTCCACCGCTGGCTAGATCAGATGAAACATGGCGCTCCACCGCTGGCTAGATCAGATGAAACATGGCGCTCCACCGCTGGCTAGATCAGATGAAACATGGCGCTCCACCGCTGGCTAGATCAGATGAAACATGGCGCTCCACCGCTGGCTAGATCAGATGAAACATGGCGCTCCACCGCTGGCTAGATCAGATGAAACATGGCGCTCCACCGCTGGCTAGATCAGATGAAACATGGCGCTCCACCGCTGGCTAGATCAGATGAAACATGGCGCTCCACCGCTGGCTAGATCAGATGAAAACATGGCGCTCCACCGCTGGCTAGATCAGATGAAACATGGCGCTCCACCGCTGGCTAGATCAGATGAAACATGGCGCTCCACCGCTGGCTAGATCAGATGAAACATGGCGCTCCACCGCTGGCTAGATCAGATGAAACATGGCGCTCCACCGCTGGCTAGATCAGATGAAACATGGCGCTCCACCGCTGGCTAGATCAGATGAAACATGGCGCTCCACCGCTGGCTAGATCAGATGAAACATGGCGCTCCACCGCTGGCTAGATCAGATGTCTCAAATACTACGTACTGATGTACAACTAATGGAATATTCTCAACCTCAAACCCGTGGTAACACAATTTGAAGGTGCATTTGTTTGCTATCTGTATGTCAGATAGGCCTAACATTCTGAAACGTTATCAAATATATTTAAATTGATGTTTTGGTGACTGTATGCTTCAAGATGGGGCGGCAGGTAGCTTAGTGGTTAAGAGCGTTGTGCCAGTAACCGAAAGGTTGCTGGTTCTAATCCCCAAGCCGACTAGGTGAAAAATCTGTCGATGTGCCCTTGAGCAAGGCACTTAACCCTAATTGCTTCTGTAAGTCGCTCTGGATAAGAGCGTCTGCTAAATGACTAAAATGTAAAATGTAAGATGAATAAGCTGTGTTCTTCAATTGTTTTCATACAGAACAGCCATAAAGACCCAGACCAGCACCACAGCACAGAGGAGACAGAGGATGAGCCCTTGCTTCGAAACAATCCCAGGCGTTTTGTCATCTTCCCAATCCAGTACCCTGACATCTGGAGGATGTACAAACAGGCCCAGGCCTCCTTCTGGACCGTGGAAGAGGTGGGGGCTTATTAACTTGAATTCCAAATGCCTCCTATGCCCTGGAAAGACTCAGGCAATCCCCAGATTACATGAAATAATACTCCCTCATTTTGAAGGGGAAAAAACTGAATGATGGTGGTTGCTTCCTAGATGTATTTGTGGTTTGTAACAGCCTACTGTCAGGAAATAGGCTACATGCAACACAGTCTCACTCACTTAAAAAAAACAAAGCACCGTTTAATGGAGGTGGTTGATGTGTGGTTTAACTGTTTATAACTGTCTGAGCTGCAGGTGGATCTATCTAAGGATCTGGCACACTGGGACAACCTGAAGCCTGATGAGAAACACTTCATCTCTCACATCTTAGCATTCTTCGCTGCCAGCGACGGCATCGTCAGCGAGAGAAACTGGTGAGTCCCTCTGTGGTCCAGAGAAGGAAAGCAGAAGAGAGCCTCGAGCGAGAAGAAAGACCTCTCGCTCCTCTTCCTCCTCTTCTCTCTCTCCCGCCTCTTCAGCTTCCAGGTAAACGGCTCTCTCCTCTTCTCCGCTCGTCACATCTCCTCATCTCCTACCTCTCTTCCTCTTCCTCACTCTTTCTCCTCTTCCTCCTCTTTCTCCTCTCCTCTTCATCCTCTTCATCATCTTCCTCCTTTTCTCTCCTCTCCTCTGAAGCCAAATCAAAAGGGTCTATAGGGTGTTGGAAAGGTGTTGGACACCCTGGTCTATAGGGTGTTGGAAAGGTGTTGGACACCCTGGTCTATAGGGTGTTGGAAAGGTGTTGGACACCCTGGTCTATAGGGTGTTGGAAAGGTGTTGGACACCCTGGTCTATAGGGTGTTGGAAAGGTGTTGGAAACCCTGGTCTATAGGGTGTTGGAAAGGTGTTGGACACCCTGGTCTATAGTAATTGTAGTATTGTATTACACTGTATTTTCACACCAGCCTATTCATCCCTAATATAACCATGTATATGTTCTCCATCCCTCAGGTCCAGAGGTTTAGTCAGGAGGTGCAGCTTCCAGAGGCCCGCTCCTTCTATGGCTTCCAGATCCTCATAGAGAACGTCCACTCTGAGATGTATGGCATGCTTATCAATACTTACATCAGGGACTCCAAGGAGAGGTACGTGACGTGTGGAATGCATCATGAAGCATCTCAGAGTAGGAGTAGTGATCTAGGATCAGGTCCATATAACCGTATTCATCAGGGACTCCAAGGAGAGGTACGGGACGTGTGGAATGAAGCATCTCAGAGTAGGAGTGGTGATCTAGGATCAGGTCCATATAACCGTATTCATTATGATCCAAAAGGGCAGAACTGATCCTAGATCAGAACACCTACTCTAAGATGCTTTATGAACACAGGCCCTGATCTCCTCACCAGGTGGGATATGAAGCTCATTTTGTCAGTTGAGATCATTGTGGTGAAAAGGACTTTGATGAGGGTTTGGTTGGTGCAGGTTTTGATCAGTAATTAAACCCAGTTCTGCCTGTGTCTTGTTCTGTACAGGGAACATTTGTTCAATGCCATTCAGACTATGCCGTGTGTGAGAAGGAAAGCAGACTGGGCAATCCAGTGGATCACTGACACCAAATCCACTTTTGGTGAGTTGATTTAAAAAAAAGAAGAATATCACAGCGGTAACGTCAACATTACTGTAGTGGTAGTGTTGACCCTGTGTAATGCATGGCCAGGAAATAGATCCTCAGGCGGAAATGGAAAATGTTTGATATGTGTTGTTGGATTATTATTGTGTGTGTTTATGAAATTGTAAATAATTCAGCCTTCGCTGCTATTGATACCAAATGTTGCCTTTTTTTTTTTTTAAATAAACCGTTCTGTTCATGTTTGTATTCATCCACAGGGGAACGGATCGTAGCATTCGCTGCAGTGGAGGGCATCTTCTTCTCAGGGTCGTTTGCTGCTATTTACTGGTTGAAGAAGAGAGGCCTGATGCCGGGGCTCACCTACTCCAATGAGCTCATCAGCAGAGACGAGGTTAGATGTTCTATATCCCTCAAACTCAACTCTGGACCCCGGGGAGTGTCATGAATTAACTAGCAGGTAGAAACATCAACCAGAAGTGTTGGGGCCCTCCAGGACCGGGATTGAACAATCCTTTTATTAAGTCTCTTTTCAAAGGACAATATACTTGTTTACACGTCTGAGCTACATCTTGATGCATCATGAAATTTTCTAGTGAAGTCTCTTCAACGTTTTGGTGTTATTTGATTAGAAATGTAGCAACCGCTAAAACGTATTGACCTCTCTGCCAATGCAACTGTCACCGTAGTGTTGATCTTTAACTTCTGTTTGTATCTTCAGGGCCTGCACTGTAACTTGGCCTGTCTGTCTGTATCTTCAGGGCCTGCACTGTAACTTGGCCTGTCTGTTTGTATCTTCAGGGCCTGCACTGTAACTTGGCCTGTCTGTTTGTATCTTCAGGGCCTGCACTGTAACTTGGCCTGTCTGTTTGTATCTTCAGGGCCTGCACTGTAACTTGGCCTGTCTGTCTGTATCTTCAGGGCCTGCACTGTAACTTGGCCTGTCTGTCTGTATCTTCAGGGCCTGCACTGTAACTTGGCCTGTCTGTTTGTATCTTCAGGGCCTGCACTGTAACTTGGCCTGTCTGTCTGTATCTTCAGGGCCTGCACTGTAACTTGGCCTGTCTGTCTGTATCTTCAGGGCCTGCACTGTAACTTGGCCTGTCTGTTTGTATCTTCAGGGCCTGCACTGTAACTTCGCCTGTCTGTTGTATCTTCAGGGCCTGCACTGTAACTTGGCCTGTCTGTCTGTATCTTCAGGGCCTGCACTGTAACTTGGCCTGTCTGTTTGTATCTTCAGGGCCTGCACTGTAACTTCGCCTGTCTGTTGTACAGCTACATAGTGAAGAGACCGTCAGAGGACAGGGTGAAGGACATTATCACCAAAGCTGTCAGCATTGAGCAGGTGAGTCAGTCAAATTAATACTGTCTAACATCCGAGGTAGATGCATGACTCTCGCCCAGGGCTGTTGCGGTGACCGTATTACTGTCGCACCGGCGGTCACAAGTCATAAAGGCAGCTAAATTCCACGTGAACATTTAGTCACGGTAATTAGGCTTCTCCAAGCTCTGATGCTGCTGATGGTCATTAGTAGCCTACCAAACTTGCTACCTGCCTGGTACTCAGCACTCTATTGTCCCTCTAATCACTCTGACATCAATGCAAATGTCATCAAAAATCTAATCAAACACTTCATGAGAGCCCATGAGCTCATGTTGAGCAACATTTCTACAGGCTATGGAGTAGCGGGAGAAAACAGAGTGATGGCCTCTACTAAAAAGAGGAGGATCCCATCAGCTTTCTATAGGCTAGGCCTACTATATTTATTTCTCTACTTTCCTAATATTAAGCACATGGCTTCTCTTTACAACAAGAGTTCAGCCCACCTGGCTGGCATGAAAATGAACCACGGGAAAGCGTCCTCCATTCGCTATTTACAAGCATTTCACTACACCCACAATAACATCTGCTAAATATGGGGATGTGACCAATACAATTGATTTGAAGAGCATAGATGACATGTCTTTTCCCCCGCTGCCCCTGTTTAGAGACAGGTGCCTGATAATGGTCCATTCTAAATCAAAACTAATTTCACATATATATTATTTAGTGAATGTAAAGACAAGATTAAATCAAGAATAGTCTGATGGGTAACAATATTAGCCTAAATGAATGAATGATGTATTATCACTTGTGAATGATTTATCACTTGTGAATTATATATTATCACTTGTGAATGATGTATTATCACTTGTGAATTATATATTATCACTTGTGAATTATATATTATCACTTGTGAATGATGTATTATCACTTGTGAATGATGTATTATCACTTGTGAATGATGTATTGTCACTTGGGAATGACGTATTGTCACTTGGGAATGACGTATTGTCACTTGGGAATGACGTATTGTCACTTGGGAATGACGCCCAGCATAAGAAACAGCCTTTCTTTCTCTACTTTTTCTAATCATAGTCCACACCCCATGTAGCCCATAGCCCTATACGTTTTAATAAGGTTTGTATCACAACTAGTGGCCAAATAACTTCTTAAAAAGAAGCACATTAATCTGCTTTACAAGGGGTGTAGAGACTAACTGGCATACATAGACAGCGAGTGAGTTTCATGTTTGGGGAAGATCATTTTCAGGATAAAATTGCACCTTTATAATAAAAAGCATTACATGCATAATTGCATTTGCGGTCACTTTTTGATTGCTGCGCTTATAATGTGAAGAAATAGAAGAATAGTTTATCAACATTTTAAGATAAACGTTCTCATCTGTTGCATCAGCCTCATTGCTTTTAGAAGGTCTTTTGATGCTAGTGGTTGTATTAATTTGGGATCTATCACATCCCACAACTGTCCCAGACTATGTTTGGAATATTTATCTCCCACAGAATAGAACAGGTCAACTTCTGTACTATGGGGGATAGTAGATTGACATGGGCTAGTCCTTTTGCTGTTCGTTAGGCCGACTCATCTTGTTGGCTGGCGAAAAGTACATGTGGACAGTTCTTCCAACGTCTTCAATATGCACCTTGGAATTGGATAAGGACGCGCGCAGTTGCGTCCCCGATGTGTCGGTCTTAACTTGTAGCCTGTGAGAAAGACCCGATCACGTGACGGAGAGCCCTGTGAGTGGGAGGTGATTCAGCGCAACGCACCACTCAGGGAGAAGGACACAACGCACCACTCAGGGAGAAGGACACAACGCACCACTCAGGGAGAAGGACACAACGCAGCACTCAGGGAGAAGGACACAACGCACCACTCAGGGAGAAGGACACAACGCAGCACTCAGGGAGAAGGACACAACGCACCACTCAGGGAGAAGGGCACAACGCACCACTCAGGGAGAAGGACACAACGCACCACTCAGGGAGAAGGACACAACGCACCACTCAGGGAGAAGGACACAACGCACCACTCAGGGAGAAGGACACAACGCACCACTCAGGGAGAAGGACACAACGCACCACTCAGGGAGAAGGACACAACGCACCACTCAGGGAGAAGGACACAACGCACCACTCAGGGAGAAGGACACAACGCACCACTCAGGGAGAAGGACACAACGCACCACTCAGGGAGAAGGACACAACGCACCACTCAGGGAGAAGGACACAACGCACCACTCAGGGAGAAGGACACAATGCACCACTCAGGGAGAAGGGCACAATGCACCACTCAGGGAGAAGGACACAACGCACCACTCAGGGAGAAGGACACAACGCAGCACTCAGGGAGAAGGACACAACGCACCACTCAGGGAGAAGGGCACAATGGCCACTGGCCGCAAAAGGCATGGATTTTTTTTAGGGTGCATTAGGGCCACACAAAGGGGATGCAGCGGTGAAATCCAAGGCATTACCAAGTGCTTGTCAAATTGTGAATGAGTGGCTGATGAAGTGTGTACAGCCTCCGCAACAAACAAAGCAGAGCTCCTGCCTTTCAAGATACTTTTTTCAAATCATCATTAGAGTTTCATCATGCAGCCTTAGAATGTATTAAAAATCAAAACGTAGAGCCCAACGTTTGTAGAACAACTAAAGTTACATTAATAACTAAACTAAGCATAATAGGAGGACCTGTTTCTTTGTTAACTGCTCAACACAGAATAGCCGCATGTGCACCCTCCCTCAAATAGTTTGGAGAAAATATCCTTTCTATTTTATTCAGCTTTGTTCAAATGTATCATACATACTATAAAATAATGGCATGGAATTCTAAGCTAATCTTGTCTGCTAAATGAACTAGTGTAGCCCACAGCCATATGGCATAGCCACATCAGGACCTAACATAAGGACAACTCAGAGGATGCTATTCTGTTCTTCTGAAATAGACTACATTTTCTTCATATCATGTTTCTTTAGACCTGTCTAAAATAAATAATGGATGTATTGTGAAGGTGTAGGCTATATTACATGGATTTATTAGACTTTTTAAATGTAGATGTTCCAAAGGTCTGCATCAGTGGCTTGTAGGCTGTGTGTGGAAGACAGGAGATGCTAAATGGGTTTATGTTAATTAACGGTCAATTACTGCTAGACCGACAGTTATTTGCTTGACAATCACCGGTTGATGAAATTGACCACCACAGCCCTACTCTCGCCATTATAAAAATAGACTTTATTGTAAATCCTTTAACAACAGTGTGAGGTTTGGTTCATAGACCTTTATCACACAGATACTATTACTATCTAACATGAATCTAGAACATGTCCATAACTACACATGTTAACATGAATCTAGAACATGACCATAACTACACATGTTAACATGAATCTAGAACATGTCCATAACCACACATGTTAACATGAATCTAGAACATGACCATAACTACACACGTTAACATGAATCTAGAACATGTCCATAACTACACATGTTAACATGAATCTAGAACATGTCCATAACCACACATGTTAACATGAATCTAGAACATGTCCATAACCACACATGTTAACATGAATCTAGAACATGACCATAACTACACATGTTAACATGAATCTAGAACATGTCCATAACTACACATGTTAACATGAATCTAGAACATGACCATAACTACACATGTTAACATGAATCTAGAACATGTCCATAACTACACATGTTAACATGAATCTAGAACATGTCCATAACCACACACGTTGACGTTTCAGGAGTTTCTGACGGAGGCCTTACCTGTGGATCTCATTGGGATGAACGGTGTGCTGATGAAGCGGTACATTGAGTTTGTGGCAGATCGTTTGCTCCTAGACCTGGGATTGGCCAAGGTGAAGCTTTCATTATTTAGTTGATTGTACAACCTAGTATGTTGTGTTGTTTTACCTGTGTAGGTAGCGTATGCAGCCTGAGTGCCAGACGGTTTGTCCTGTCAATCCAACCCCCTGTCACACATTGGCAAGACAAACATTTTCAATGACAAAATGGAGTTGGCAAGAGCAAAACAGATGCTTTGTATTCCAGGTTTATCTGGCAGAAAACCCCTTCGACTTCATGGAGTCCATCTCACTGGAAGGGAAAACCAACTTCTTTGAGAAGCGTGTGGCTGAGTACCAGAGGTCTGGAGTGATGTCGAACACCTTGGACCGTGACTTCACCCTGGATGCAGACTTCTAGTTGGAACACACAGAAGAAAAGGAGGAGGTACTCCACAACAACAACAGATGCTATTGGAGGGAATCCGGATTGAAAAGCCAAAGGAAAAATTATATAACCACATAGGTGCTGAGTAGCATAAAGAAATACAAGTCCAGGTACTTGTGTGGGTCTGAAAGTTAAAAAGCCCAAACATGGTCACATTATTATACTATTGAGCTGTATATTTCATTTATATTTGTTGTATTTTATCTTGATAAAACAAGGACCTCACACTGACAATGGCAGTAATACCAGTGACCGCAATGCAAAGATTTTAATAAGGAATAATTTATAAATACCTTTTGTTTGTTTTTAATAAAATTAATACTGCTCATAGTCTCTCTCTCTCTCTGATAATCATTTGCTCTAGATGCATAGCTAGACCTATTAGGAAGAATGTATATTTTGTGTGTGTGTTTGCTAAACTTTCACACGGCGAAACACCGTCATATTTTCCTTTTTATCACACCCGCTTCTGCATTTTCCAGCGCTACTTCTTCTTTTTCCTCTGTGGGTTTTATGGCGGACTACAACCCAAAAAGGTGTATTGCCACCACCAACTGGACGGGTTGAAACCAAAACAAGGTAAAAAGAATATCCATACGTGATGGGGAAAACTAACTTAATCCACCCAAATACATTGACAAAACAACAGGAAGGTTTTTTTTTTAGAAAGTTCTGAGAACTTCTCTGTTTTACTCAGGACACGGTAAGAGGAGTTTTTTAGAAAGTTCTGAGAACTTCTCTGTTCTACTCAGGACACGGTAAGAGGAGTTTTTTAGAAAGTTCTGAGAACTTCTCTGTTCTACTCAGGACACGGTAAGAGGAGTTGAGAACCTCTGTTTTACTCAGGACACGGTAAGAGGAGTTTTTTAAGTTGCCAGCCTGTCACACAGCTGCAGCTGAAAACAGGCAAAACGCAAAGGATGTTGAGTCATTTACATTTACATCATTTAGCAGAAAGCTCTTATCCAGAGCCACTTACACATTGGTGCGTTCAATTTAGGATAGCCAGTGGGACAACCACTTTATTTTAATTCATTTTTTATGGGGGGGGGATAGAAGGATTACTTTATCCTATTCCAGGTATTCCTTAAAGAGGTGGGGTTTCAAGTGTCTCCGGAAGGTGGTCAGTGACTCCGCTGTCCTGGCGTCGTGGGGGAGCTTGTTCCACCATTGGGGTGCCAGAGCAGCGAATAGCTTTGACTGGGCTGAGCGGGAACTATGCTTCCACAGAGGTAGGGGAGCCAGCAGGCCAGAGGTGGATGAACGCAATGCCCTCGCCTGGGTGTAGGGACTGATCAGAGCCTGAAGGTACGGAGGTGCCGTTCCCCTCACAGCTCCGTAGGCAAGCACCATGGTCTTGTAGTAGAAGCCAGTGGAGTGTGCGGAGGAGCGGGGTGACGTGAGAGAACTTGGGAAGGTTGAACACCAGACGGGCTGCGGCATTCTGGATGAGTTGTAGGGGTTTAATGGCACAGGCAGGGAGCCCAGCCAACAGCGAGTTGCAGTAATCCAGACGGGAGATGACAAGTGCCTGGATTAGGACCTGTGCCGCTTCCTGTGTAAGGCAGGGTCGTACTCTCCGAATGTTGTAGAGCATGAACCTGCAGGATCGGGTCACCGCTACTCACACTTGTAGAAGTCTTGTGTTCAGGGTCAGGCTGTAGTTGAAATACAATATATGAGGCTGAAGAAGGCCTTGTAGATTTCGGAACAGTGTGACTGTTGTCTTTACGTGTATTGGTGAAGAAAGCCGAGATGAAACCAGCCAAGAGGATTTCTGCTGCCGATGGCAAAGAGCCTGATGACGATACGACCCTTAACCCCTGTTTGAACCCTTCACCGTGGGTAACTTCTTTATACCCTCGTTGCTAAATGTATCCTGCAGAATTCCAGTATTTTCATTGACTGTGCCGTTTAAGACCCTTTTATAAGGCCACAATGGCATTGTTAGGGGATTAGGCAGTGACTCAGGCTTAGGCCCAAATGGCACCCTATTCCCTCCCCATAGGGCTCTGGTCTAAAGTAGTGCACTCTATAGGGAATAGGGTGTCATTCTCTGGTCTAAAGTAGTGCACTATATAGGGAATAGGGTGCCATTCTCTGGTCTAAAGTAGTGCACTATATAGGGAATAGGGTGCCGAACCTGTGTTTGCTTTGTCATTATGGGGTATTGTGTGTAGATTGATGAGGGGAAAAAATAATTTAATCAATTTTAGAATAAGGCTGTAACCTAACAAAGTGGAAAAAGTCAAGGGGTCTGAATACTTTCCGAAGGCACTGATCAGTATAAAGATGTGGAGTGGATTGATAGATTAGCGTAAGTAGAGTAATGATGTGTATCATTATGTGTATTATGTATGTGTAATTGGAGCATTTCAGTTGAGCTTATGCAGTAGCACTTGGAAATGAAACATCATTACTATTCACATCCGAGTTACAATGTTACAAATCACCAGGCAGCCACCTGCCTTACAGTTGGTATCAATAAAATGCTCATCCAGAAGCGGCGCTCCGAGTGGCCAGGGACTTTAATGCAGGCAAATTTAAATTTGTTTTACCTCATTTCTACCAGCATGTCATATGTGCAACCAGAGAAAAAAAAACTCTAGACCACCTCCACACACAGAGACGCGTCCAAAGCTCTCCCTCCTTTTGGCAAATCTGAACATAATTCTATCCTCCTGATTCACCTGAAACGCCTACAGTACCAGTCAAAAGTTTGGACACACTTCCTCATTCAATGGTTTTTCTTTATTTGTACTATTTTCTACATTGTAGAATAATAGTGAAGACATCAACTATTAAATAACACATATGGAATCATGTAGTAACCAAAAAAGTGTTAAACAAATCAAAATAAATTTGAGATTCTTCAAATAGCCACCCTTGGCCTTGATGACAGCTTTGCACACTCTTGGAGTGGCAATATCGTCCGCTATTATCCTCAGTAATTTTCCATTCAAGTTGTCAGACCCCAGTGGCTTGTCATTATTGATAGACAACAACAATTTTACGGAATTCAAAATTACAATTCTTGTCTTTCATAGTTTGGTCAGATATACTTGGATGTGTAGTGTCAGCGTTTGTTGCTGGCATGTCATGCCTAAGTTTGCTAATCTTGCCAAAGAAAAAATCATTAAAGTAGTTAGCAATATCAGTGGGTTTTGTAATGAATGAGCCATCCGATTCAATGAATGATGGAGCTGAGTCTGCCTTTTTTCCCAAAATGTCATTTAAGGTGCTCCAAAGCTTTTTACTATCATTCTTTATGTCATTTATCTTTGTTTCATAGTGGAGTTTCTTCTTCTTTTTATTCAGTTTAGTCACATTTGCAGTACGTTTGCCAATCGGTCGTGCAGCCAGACTTATTTGCCATTTCTTTTGCCACATCCCTCTCAACCATACCATTTTTTAATTCCTCATCAATCCACGGGGATGTATGTTTTTAAAGTCATTTTCTTAATGGGTGCATGTTTATTAGTAACTGGGATAAGCAATTTCATAAATGTGTCAAGTAGTAGCCTAGTATATAACTGTGTCAAGTAGTTTTATCCTGGACTGTCCTTTCCTGTGAAGAACTCAGGTTCTTGCATCCAGATGAGTGTGTTGATGAAAGAATAACATTTCCACTAAGCCAAAGTAACACTGACAGATCCATGTCTCTAGTGTCTACCAGCTGGGGAGAGGAGCCGTCAATGAATGGTGGAGGGTGGACTGATATCTCCATGAAGCTGCCCATCCAGATAAGCTCTACAGACGGGGAGAAGTGGCCGGCCATCCCTAAAGGACCCCGACACAGGAACCCAGAACTCACCTGGGGACCCTTAACCCCCTGGGGACCCTTAACCCCCTGGGGACCCTTAACCCACCTGCGGACCCCTAACCCACCTGGGGACCCTTAACCCAACTGGGGACCCTTAACCCACCTGGGGACCCTTAACCCACCTGCGGACCCCTAACCCACCTGGGGACCCTTAACTCACCTGCGGACTCCTAACCCCTAATACTCTTGGGGACCCCTAACCCACCTGGGGACCCCTAACCCACCTGGGGACCCCTAACCCACCTGGGGACCCTTAACCCACCTGCGGACCCCTAACCCCTAATCCTCTGGGGACCCTAAACCCACCTGGGGACCCCTAACCCCTAACCCACCTGGGGACCCCTAACCCACCTGGGGACCCCTAACCCACCTGGGGACCCCTAACCCCTAACCCACCTGGGGACCCCTAACCCACCTGGGGACCCCTAACCCACCTGGGGACCCCTTAACCCACCTGGGGACCCTTAACCCACCTGCGGACCCCTAACCCCTAATCCTCTGGGGACCCTAAACCCACCTGGGGACCCTTAACCCACCTGGGGACCCTTAACCCACCTGGGGACCCTTAACCCACCTGGGGACCCTTAACCCACCTGCGGACCCCTAACCCCTAATCCTCTGGGGACCCTAAACCCACCTGGGGACCCTTAACCCACCTGGGGACCCTTAACCCACCTGGGGACCCCTAACCCACCTGGGGACCCCTAACCCACCTGGGGACCCCTAACCCACCTGGGGACCCCTAACCCACCTGGGGACCCTTAACCCCCCTGGGGACCCCTAACCCACCTGGGGACCCTTAACCCACCTGGGGACCCATAACCCACCTGGGGACCCCTAACCCCTAACCCACCTGGGGACCCTTAACCCACCTGGGGACCCCTAACCCCTAACCCACCTGGGGACCCCTAACCCACCTGGGGACCCCTAACCCACCTGGGGACCCCTAACCCCCCTGGGGACCCCTAACCCACCTGGGGACCCTTAACCCCTAATCCTCTGGGGACCCCTAACCCACCTGGGGACCCCTAACCCACCTGGGGACCCCTAACCCACCTGGGGACCCCTAACCCACCTGGGGACCCCTAACTCACCTGCGGACTCCTAACTCACCTGCGGACTCCTAACCCACCTGCGGACCCCTAACCCACCTGGGGACCCCTAACCCACCTGGGGACCCCTAACCCACCTGGGGACCCCTAACTCACCTGCGGACTCCTAACCCACCTGGGGACCCCTAAACCCCCTGGGGACCCCTAACCCCCCTGCGGACCCTTAACCCACCTGGGGACCCCTAACCCACCTGGGGACCCCTAACCCCCCTGGGGACCCCTAAACTCCCTGGGGACCCCTAACCCACCTGGGGACCCCTAACCCCCCTGCGGACCCTTAACCCACCTGGGGACCCCTAACCCACCTGGGGACCCTTAACCCACCTGCGAACCCCTAACCCCTAATCCTCTTGGGGACCCCTAACCCCTAATCCTCTGGGGACCCTTAACCCACCTGG